CATGATGCATATTACAGTTTGTCCATTTATAGAGAAATCAGGGCCAGCAAGTAAACAGCATACAAAAGCACTTGCTGCTGAGCCTGCTGAGCCAAGCTCAAGCCCTACATCCCATGAGACCCCTGCAAATCACCCTGACCTCCCCCTACACACACATACCTTCATACCGCACACACTCACACACACCATACACACATACACCTCACACACACCATACACACATACACCACACACACACTCACACCACATACACACAAATAACTTTTTAAAAGTCAGTGAAATTGCATATGAACTTTAATTTTATAATCTGAATATAATTTAATGGCCAAGGCTAGAACACAAAAATAATCTCTTAAAACTCTTTCAATGAATAATTTCCCACAGTATGTGATTGCTTCTATATGTACACAAATTATCCCAAACAGCACATTAAAGTTAAGAATAATTTTGGTTTTTCTTTTTCAACTAAATGTTCAGTAGATAGTCACATGTTCAGATCAGTAGAAGCCATAATTGAACAGAGAATATGGCACTAGGCCAAAAAAGTTCCACAACCCTTTTTTTTTTTTTTTTTTTTTTTTTTTTTTTTTTGAGACAGGGTTTCTGTCCTGGAATTTACTCTGTAAACCTAAACTGGTCTCAAACTCAAGAGATGCCTCCCAAGTGCTGGGATTAAAGACGCACGCCACCATACCAAGACACAAACTTTTTTAATGTACAAACCTAATCATTCTTCTAAACCCCCTCTTAAGTGGTATGCATGTATATATGCTTTAGAAAAAAACTACAGAAATTAAAAAGAACACCTAAATAGTACTTTACAAGGCACTATGTCCAAAGTTTTACCCTGTCCAAGAACTTGCTGAGGCAGATGATAGCACACCACCAGGTGGAGATAAAAATTGTTTGAAATCCTATCCAGTTTTCTTCATATAGTAGAATATGGAGCTACTTTTAAAACCTAGGTTCTCCAACCTAGAATGCCAAGCTCTAATAGGTTGGGCGATTTAAAAACCACCTCCAAATAAGAAGGATTTTACTTATTTTTAAAGTAGTATTTGGACTGGTGATATAGACCCAGCTCTCACAAAGCATATTGGGCACCACATTAAACTGGGCATTAGTATTATACCTCTGTAATCCCAGCACATGAAAGGTAGAGACAATAGGGTCAAGGCTATATATAGTTTCTAGGCCAGCCTGGGCTACATGAAACTGTGCCTCAAAAATAAATAGGTATACAAATAAATGCATAAATAAATGCTATTATTATAGTTCTAAATTCAATTTAATCTCCTCAAACGTGTGTTGAGATGCTGCCAGGAACTACATAAATTAAATAAAGGAAGCGCTGTTCAAAGCATTTTGTATGAGACACCTAAATATGTCTTGAACTGAGAGTACAAATAATTCAGTAACACCTATGTGTTTGAAATAAAAACCCCAGATAACATGCTTTTTTTTTCATCATTAAAACTGACCTTTTCAGATATACTGGAGTACAGCCTAACATGCATTTTGTCCTAATTTAGGACAAATCGGAAATTTAGGAAAATCCTTCCGATTTCCTGAGCAATAGGAACTGTCTTTGGTTATTCACCAGGCCCATTCTGGCCACACCAACAGCCCTGAAGTCAGGGAGGGTCCCTAACTAGCCCCACCACTGGAAAAGTAAGTGCACTGGGATGTCCTCATCCTATGAAAGCTTCCGGGAAGTACTGGATTTGATGACTCTAGACTGGCTCAACAGGAGTGGGTTCAGAGAAGAACCCAGCTAACCCACCGAGTCCCTTCACGAAGCTGTTCATGTGGGATAAGAGACAAGCTCACACTCTAGGCCCTGTGACTGGGATCTGAAGTTGAAGAAACCCTGTGATATCTTTAGGCAGACAACAGCAAAACTGAACCGGACGCTCAGCTGGTGCCTAGAGATTACCTGTTTGCTTTATGGTGAGCAATTCTCACACATAAAAACATACTGGTTTTACAAGTACTGAGTAGAAAAAAACAGTGCAGTTCATCTTTTTAGAAGATACTGTGTTGTTTTTTCCCAGCCGGCCCCATGCACATGAAGGTCAGAAGTCAACTTCAAGTGTCAGTCCTTGCCCTCTACCATGTGGGACTGAGTACTGCAGACAAGCTGGCCCATGCATCCCAGGGATTCTCCTGTCTTCATCTCCCATCTTCCAGTAAGAGCATTGGAATTACAGATGCCACCATGTCTAGCTAAACATGTAGACAGATACATGTATGTACTATTGAACATGGTGGTACATCCCCATGATCTCAAAGTAAAGTAAGATGATTGAGAGTTCAAGGCCCGATGGTCTTAAAAAAAAAAAAAAAATGAACAGGGTACTTTCACAGGTAGAGAGCTGCCTAACCGTTTGCAAGGAACTGGGTGCAATAAACTGCAGGGGGAACAGGCAACAGGAGGGGGAAGATATTTATTGATGACACAACATGGCTAAGATTTGCTTCAGAATAATCAGAGAGGAAAAGCAAACAGAAGTAACACTAGCCATAAGGATTATAGTAGTTTAAATGGTAACAGCTGTGGTTTTGAAATTTTCCATCATGAAGTTTAAAGTGGTAGCAGTAGTAGCAGCCAGGCATGTCACATACCTTTTTTCTACTTGGAAGTACACGGAGGTGGATGTCTGAGTTAAAAGCCAGTTTAGCCTACATACCAAGGTTCAGACTACACAGTGAGACCTTCTCTTAAAAGAAAAAAAAAAAAAAAAAAAAAAAAGGCTAGGCAAGGTGGCGCTCACCTGTAATCCCAGCACTTGGGGAGGCAGAGGCAGGTGAATCTCTGTGAGTTTGAGGCTAGCCCGGTCCACAAAAACAAACAAGGCTACACAGAGAAACCCTATCTCAAAAGACAAGGAGCTGGAGAGATGGCTCAGAGGTTAAGAACACTGGTCCAAAGGTCCTGAGTTCAATTCCCAGCAACCACATGGTGGCTCATAACCATTTATTGTAAGATCTGGTGCCCTCTTCTGGTGTGCAGGCACACACGCAGACAGAATGTTGTGTAAGTATAAATAAATAAATCATTTAAAAAATATGTAATAAAAAAAGTGGAAGGGGAGGAGGACCTCCCCTAGCAGTGGACTGGGGGAGGGGCTATACCTGGAATACAAAGTGAATAAACTGTAATAATTATTTTTTTAAATGCTGGAAAATAAAAGTGGACATGGTGACATACACCTTTCATCCCAGCATTCAGGAAACAAAGGCTGAGGATCTCTTTTAAGTTTGAGGCCAACGTGGTCTACATAATGAGTTCTAAGACAGCCAAGACTACAAAGTGAGAGTCGGTCTCTAAAAATGTATATATACATAGCTGCCTTTTTTTTTTTTCATAGCTGCCTTTTATCAGACAAAATAGGCTTACTTCCAAAGGCATTAGCTTCAAGTTCACCAACCGAATATTAAATACTAGGCTAAATAACTCCTCATTTTACATTTTGAGCATTTTATTTATTGTTTTTATGTGCATGAGTGCTTGGCCCGCACTTATGTGCGGCTATAGGTAGAACCTCCACTATGTGTGCAGCGTCCACAGAGGCCAGAAGAGAGCATCCCATCCACAGACACTAGAATTCAGATTATGAGCCTTCAAGTAAGTGCTGGAAATTCCACCCAGGTCCTCTGGAAGAGGAACTAGAGCCCTTAATCTCCGAGCCACCCTCCAGCCCCATAATTCATCATGTTAAAACCAAAACCAACTATTGGGCACAGTGGTGCACTCCTGTAACCCCTGCTACTCGGGAGGCTGAGACAGGATAACTTGATCCATGAGTTCAAGCCCACCCAGGGTAACATGGTAAGATACCATATCTCTTCTTTGTCATTAAAATGAAATTTCGGTATGCTCAAGACGCTCATTGAGTGGTTCAAGACTCATGTCAAGACGCTCATGAGTGGCTCATTCCTAAATCTCAGCATTTCGGAGGAGCCTGAGGGAGATACACTGCCAGAAATCAAGGCCAGACTGTTCTAAGTAGGGAGTTCCAAGTCAGCCATGATTACATTGTATGATCCTGTCTCAAAACTACAAAAAAAAAAAAAAACAAGAAAATAAAAAAAGACAAAACAAATTAACATTACAAGTACTATCACAGCACTGATTTAAATCCAGTTTTTCTCAGACTCTAGACCTTCCTCTAATGTAAGAGAGATCTGAGTTAGACCCCAGAAAAGCACAGTGCCCGTGTCCTCTGAAGACCCTGAGGTAGTACCTACAACTGCCAACCATCTGGCATCAAGCCAGTCTGGAAATAAGGCTTCATTATGTGTCTCCTACAGCTCATTAAAGCAGGGATTCAACAGCAGCAGCCACATTCAGTGTATGTCACAATGTTCTATACTGTCTGGGTCAACAAGCAATGGTGACAGCCACCTCTGGCCCAGCCTTCCAAATACTGGTTCCGCTGTAAGCAGGAAAGAAAAAATGAAAGTCAGATAGAGGCGGCAGGAGAGATAATAAGAAACTGCTATTCTGCTTCCTATAAACTATAATAGTGAATCCTTGTTTGTTCATAAAACACACTGTTGTCATTGTTTAAATTTTATGTGCATGAATGTTTTGCGTCATCTTTGTCTGTGCATCACATGTGCCTACTCCCCACTGAGACCCATAGAGAATACCAGATCTAGGACTGGAGTCACTGCAACCATGTGAGTTCTGGGAATCAACCCATGTCCTCGTAAGTACTGAGCCATCTCTGCAGCCCTTATCAAACACAGCTTTACAAGATTCTGGTATGTAGACCATCTTTATCCAAGTAAAACACAATTTTTTTCATTTTTAAAGAGGAAAATAAAATGCTTTAAATTCTGTTTAAAAAACAATCTCAACAATTCTGATTTAAAGATGGGTGTCTGTAAATAAAAACAAAAGTTTTCCCCCCTGCTTTATCACTGTCAGCATAATTATATAATGTTCATACAGTACTGAAGCCAATTGAAGGGGAAATATCTGTGCTGCTTACCAAGTGTTTTCCGGCTCCTTTCCACAGCTGTCCTCCGAGTTTGCTCAAACATGGCCTCCAAGTCAAATGTACGAGCTTTCTTTCCTAGGAGCAGAGCAAACATCAGTGTGACCAACCACCCTGCAATGAGCTAGCCAGAAGCTTTATGCACTCCAGTGTTACTTACTGACCAATAACCACTCAGTCTGTCTACATGATAGCATGTTTCGTAGGTAATGATAAAACAGTAAGATATATACTAGTTCACTTGGGACCAGAAGTGTTTCAAGAACTAATAGGTTTTTCTTGTTTTTTTAGTTTAGAATATTTCTACACAGATATTACTACCTTAGCAATTCAAAATATAAAATACAAAACTTTTTTTGTTGATGGTTTTTCTAGAGATATAGTCTTGCTTCACACCACTGGCTAGCCTTGAACTTATAATCCTCCTGCCTCAGCCTCACAAGTACTGAGATTATGACAGATATCTACCAAACAGTAAGCCAAATTCCAAAACTTTTGAGCACTAATAGATTGTTCAAAGAGTACAAATTTCAGATTCAGTAGGAATGGGAAGCGACCTAATATCAGCCACTTTCTCTACCTCCTCTATTTTATCTAGATGCCTACATCTTGAAAGAATTTGATCTGTCAAGGAAAATAAGAAATATCCATACTTTTGATTCTCAGAATTCTGAGATTCTGCATACACCTGTCTATACTCTCAGCACTTAGCATACAGAGGCAAAAGGACTAGAAGCTCAAGATCATCCTTGTCCATGCAACAAGTTCAAAGTGAGGCTGGAATAAATAAAGCCCTCACTCAAGCCAACTTATGTAAAAACAATAAAATAAAAAAATAAAATAAAATAGAATAGAAAGACTATCCCATATGGCCCACTGCATTCAAAGAAGTCCTTAAGGCAAAGATACAAAACTGGTATGGGAGAATTTAAGAGACTCAAATCCTGAGAAGAAATCAAGGCACTACAGCTGACTTAAGCTTGAGACATGAGAATTAAAGATGTTTGAAGGAGCTAAGGAATAGCCAGAAAGCAAAGAGCTATTTCAATCCTACTACCAAGAACTGTGTTGTTCACAGAAGCAACGTCCTCACCCTAAACACAACACAGCTACCAGATTAGAGCATGTTAGAGGAAAGAGGGACAGAGCAAACAGTCATCCTCAGCTACATGGGGAGTTGGAGACAAACCTGGGCTACTTGAGGCCTTGGCTGAATAAATAAATAAAAATAACAAAAATAAATAAAAACCTTCTAACATAACCTAGGCTACATAACCCAGGCTAGCTTTAAACTTGAAAGTACCTGCCTCAGCCACTCAATTACTAAGATTCATGTATCAAGTAGTTAAAAGTTTTGTTTTCACCTTGCTTGTTTTACTTTAGTAAATAACAGTACCTAATTTGTTGGTAGATATAGTTAAGATGGCATTCCTGCATTCTGTTAGCTCTGTTAAACAATCTGTTAGAAGGGCCTCAGGCAGTGACTATCCACAAGGTTCTAAAGTCAGTGGTCTACTAGCTAAGCCATGGAGGGCTTTGCCAGAATAGGAGGCATGTACAATGCAAAGCCCTGAATCAATTCAATCCTTCAACAGAGCCAAAAGGAAAAAAAGAGGGAAAATAAGAAAAAGAGAAATTTGTTTGCCTTTCTTGGTTTTTTTCAAGACACGGTTTCTCTGTATAGCCCTGGCTGTCCTGGAACTCATTCTGTAGACCAGGCTGGACTCAACCTTAGAGATCCACCTGCCTCTGCCTTCAGAGTGCTGGGATTAACAGTGTGTGCCACCACACCCATTGAGGTTTTAAAAGATAAACACCCAATCTTTACTTTTACTCTTAGTAACTTTCTAAATAAAGTTACACTGACAACTATCAGTAGATTACAGACTCGTGTTACTCATGAGAATGCTTGTTAGAAGCTAGGGAAGTGACTCAGTCAGTACACCATTTGACACTCAAGCATGAGGCCCTGTGTTCAGATCTCCAGGTGGAAGACCTCTAGGACTTCCTGGCTAGCCAGCCCAGTTAAACCATGAGCTCCAGGCCCAGGGAGAGACACTGTCACAAAATTTGGGTAGAAATTAACTGATGAAGACATTAGATGTCAACTTCTAGCCTCCTGGACACACGTCATACATGAATTCACACACATACATTATGTGCACACATTAACAAAATGTTCTTTTAGCATTAAAAGATGGATTTGCTGTCACACGCCAGCATGTTAGAGGCTGAGGCAGGGGAATCTCAAACTTCAGGCTATCCTGGAATACACAGTCAGCTCTTCCTCCACAAAACAAAAAAGAAATAAAAATAGAAATTACGTAGCGAAAATTTTAAGTGATACAAATTCTATTGTGTAGTCTACTCTCTGGATACTAAAATAAATAAATTTGGGCTAACAGTGTAGCTCAGTAGTGGAACAGGTATTTGGCATGTACGAAGTCCTGTTGAGTCCCCATACTACCAAAAAATGTTTTGGAAGAATATAACACTTGAAAATCTGCAAAATACTGTCATAAAGAACAATGTTTACTCATAAGTATGGTATTAAATTTAAATACCAATAGAAAAACAAACTGAATTTGATTTTCTTTTGGTTTGGTTTGGTTTTTTTGGTTTTTCAAAACAGGTTTTTCTGTGTAGCCTTGGCTGTCCTGGAACTCAGATCTGCCTGCCTCTGTCTCCCAAGTGCTGGCATTAAAGGTATGCGCCATAACCACCCAGCTGCTTTGATTTCTTTTTCTTGTAATTCTCTTAACTTTCTGAGGTTAGAAAGAGGGGCTCGAGAGATGACTCAGCAGTTAAGAGCGTTTGTTGCTCTTGCAGAAGACCCTGATTCCCAGCACTCATATGGTGGCTCACAACCATCTGTAACTCCCATTCCATAGGATCCAGTGCCCTCTTCTGGCCGCCACGGGCACTGCATGCAAGTAGTGTGCAAACATTTTCAGGCCAAGTACCCACTCACACATCTTACGCATAAATATTTGTATATTTATGTATACACATACATACGTATGTATGTATGTATTAAGAAATTAGAAATAAAATACTGTAACTGCCCTTTTATGGCCTGATTACCCAGAGTCCTAGTAGATAGTAAATAGATGAATGAATAAATGAATGAAGGAGAATTACATACATTAGCAGGTCATTTATTCACAAAAGAAATTACAGAACAAATTCCGTTTGATTTTTACTAGTACTAATGTTTTTAACAGATGATAACTCTCTTGAGGCTTTTTTATTATCTTATAACGTGCCATGACTAGGGTATACATTAAGATTGAGGTGAGGATTCTGGATGAGAAAGACTAAACAAAAGGCAGGAACTCGATAAACACTATAATATTTAATGGCCACTAATAAATGTTCATCTCAGAATGGGTCCCGATAATAATCCCTACCAGTTTAGGTCTCCAAGTGTCACCTGAACTGGTCTCCACAAATGGGACCGAAGCAATTCCGGGGACACGGCAGAAGGCGCCGGTCAAAAGTGACAGCTCTCCTAACCTTCACTTTTAAGCCCTCTGCAAAATCAGGCTGGGTTTTGCCCAGGGCAAGTCACTCACCGAAACCTGTGAAGCCCATGGTGACTGCCAGTTGAGGATCGGGTCCCGCCGGGTCTGTGCCTGTCACTGCAGCAAGAAAGAAAAGACAGACGGACCGTCACCGCGGCGCCTCGGCTCCCCTGCACGGACCCCACCCCGGGTGGCCGCGCGGACCCACCTTCGTTGGGCCCCGAGTGCTCCATGGCCGTCTGAACCCACAGCCTCCGCAGAAGCCCCCGCGAAGCGGCGCGCTACCAGAAAGCCCGACAGGAAGTCGTCTCCGAGTCCGCGTCGCCAAGAGCGGCCGGTCCGGAAGGGAGGCGGGCTTCCGGATTCACTCTCGCCCCCTAGCGGTCCGGAGCGAACTCGCCGCCGACACCGCCTACCAATTCAAATCGTGAAGCGGTGAATTTGGGGTGTTCTGTAAAAACTTTTGATTGGGGGTTGGAGAGACGGCTCAGAGGTTAAGAGCACTGGCTGCTCCTCCAGAGGTCATGATGGTAGTTCACAACCCTCTAAAATGAATGGTGCCCTCTTCTGGTGTGCAGGTGTACATGCAAACACACACTGTATACATAATAAATAAATCAATCATGAAAAAAAAAACCTTTTGATTGTTTCAGGCCAGGTAACAGTCCTCGCCTGTTCCCAAGGAGAAGATAATATCCTGTTCTTCGCATGCTGCTTTTCTCTATAATGTACATGATGAAACTCCCACAGCTGCCCACCTTCTCCGTATACTTGAAGAAGCCAGTATCTAGATGTAACTCAAGCACTGAGAAAGATGCCTAAAAACTGAGGGTTGCGAGCAGTATTTTAAGTGCTTGTCCTCAGTTACAGACTCCCTCTGACTTGGCCAGCTGTGTTCCAAATGCTACATCTCTAGTTTTGTTTCCAATTTATTTTGATTTCTTTACAACTTGGTTCTTTATCCATACTATGAATTAATGGTATATCACTTACTATATTCGTAAAGGCTGGCCTCAAACTCAGAGACCCATCCCTCCTTGGCCTCCCATGTTTTTAAAGATGGGTGCTACCAAGCCAAGTGAAAATATCAAAGTTTCACGTGTACTCACTTGTGGGAGAGGTACAGCATGCTACACTGTGCGTATGGATAAAAGAGAACAACTTTCAGACATATTCTCCCACCCCCTGGATTCCAGGGTGGGGCTCAGGTTACAGGCTTAGCAGAAAACACCTATTCCTACTCAGCCTTCTGTTCACTCAAGAATGGGCAGTGATGGTGCATGCCTTTAATCCCAGCACTTGGGAGGCAGAGGCAGGTGGATCTCTGTGAGTCTGAAGCCAGACTGGCTTACTAAGTGAATCCAGGACAGCCAGTAATACACCGAGAAACCTTGTCTTTAAAAATAAAAAAAATAAAATAAAAATAATTAAAATACTTTGATAAAGTTATTTTATTAGTCTCCTATCACTGTTTTTGTTTCATTTATCTGTACATCTTAAATGATGATCATGTAATGTTTCCATTGTACTTAGAGTAAAATGTGAGATAAAGCTGTGGCTCCACCGTTGCTTTGCATAGACAAGGCTCTGTATTGGATCTCCAGCACCAAAATCACAAATTTAATAAGATGGTAGCATGGCTTACAAAACCTTTCTATTCCAACCTTGTTGTTTTTCAGTGCCACCAACCATTCAGTGTAATGAGTAACCTCAGAAGTGTCCTGGGATTTCTGACTCTTCACCAGGTCCTGTGCCCTTGATTCCACTTCTCATCTTCCAAATATCAAATTACATTTCAAAATATCAAATTACATTACAAGATACTTGCTCTTGTATGTATCTGTAAAACTTTGTAGGCCTCCAACTAACTAAGGCCCACTAACTATGTGATTCATTGTACTTTCTTCATAGTACAATGGCTGGGCAGGCAGTCTGAGTGTTCCTTAAATGAATTTAAAAAAAAGAAATCGTTGGGAAGGCAAATGTTACTTTTCCTATGTGCAAGATGTATACAATTTATAGCAATGAAGGTTGAGTCTGCTTCAAAAGACCACTAACCACAAGTCACCCTGAACGTCCATCAGTATGCCTAATTAATTTTGCCTACACTCAAATAAGTTATTACTAATGTTAGTATCTCTTTCCTGAGCACACATAAGTAGCTATTAGGTACTGTAGCAGAACATTATCAATAAAGTTTATTTTGTAATCATAACTTTAAATAGTCAAGTAGATACATATTAAACTTTAAAGTGCAAAGCAGGAGAGGGAAATGAAAACAGACAATAGCTACTTCATCACCTAGTTAGAATGGATACTCATCACCATAAACATCATAAAAAAGATGTTTTACTCTCTATACATTATAGACAATAATTGTGGTGTGAGCATCTTTCACGTTAAACTACTTCGGATGTGTTTGTGCAAAACAACTTTATAAACAAGACAATGAGCAATTTTTTCTTAACTAAAATTTATTCACTAATCAAAACAAGATGCCAGCAGGGTGGGCTGACACATGCCTGTAATCCCAGCACACTGGGAGGCAGAGGCAAGCAGACAGCTGTGAGTTTGAGGTCAGCCTGGTCTACAAAGTTAGTCCAGGACAGTCAAGGCTACACAGAGAAACCCTGCCTCGTAAAAAAAAAAAAAAAAAAAAAAACCTAAAACTAAAACAAGCAAAACAACACCAAAAAAAAAAAAAAAAAATCATGACACTCCTGTCTCTGCCTCCCATAGGTTGGGAATACAGGCCACCATGCTGGTTTCAGTTCATTTCTTTTCTTTATTTTTAGATTTTTCTTTTCTGTATATGAGTGTGTGGCCTGCACACATGTATGTGGTCACATGTATGCCTAGTACCCACAGAGACTAGAAGATCCAGAGTCTGGATCTCCCAGGACTGGAGGTACTGAGGGTTGTGAGTATCCTTGTGGGTGCTAGTGTAATGCTAGGTTCACGGGACCCTCAGAGACCACCAGGAGACGACTCGATGCAATTGCAAGAGAGCTTTATTATGAGAGCGATCAAACTCGGGACCCAAGTCTCACTGATGCAGCAGTAGAGAAGTGAGACCCTGAGCCCTGAGTGAGCAGGGTTTTTAAAGGGAAAGTCTATGATCAGGGGGTTTCCATGGCAGCAAGCAGGGGGCACAAGTCTTGGCATTACAGAATTGGGTGAAGTTTAGCCAGGCGGGGTGACCTTCTCTGAGGCACACAATCACAATGGCTAAGACATATAATCATAATGGCTAAGGCATATAATCACAGTGGCTATTTTTCTAAACCATATCTGAAACATTGGGGAGAATTTTCCCACCTGATTCCCAACCAATTCTCATTATTGCCAGGGAGTTTGTCTCTATTTTCTATGAGCATTTATTCTGTTATATTCCCTGAAGGCTGTTGCTCAGAGAGTTAACTTTGTTTTCTGCAGGTGTACATTCTGTGATATTTCCTGGTGCCTGAATTCAGTTCCCAGTCAAGATCTTTATTTCAAAATGGAGTTATATTCAAGCTAACTTAAACTCTTCACTAGGAAGCAAACAAGGGTCCTCTGCATTAGCAACAAGTAGTTTGGTCTGTTTGTTTTCATGTGTATGGGTGTTTCGCTTGCATCTATTTCTACAGAATGTGCATGCCTGGTGTCTGCAGAGAGCAGAAGAGGGCAGTAGGTCCCCTAGAAATGGAGTTACAGTTACAAGTCACCCTGTGGGTGCTGGAAATTGAACTCAGGTCCTCTGGAAGAACAATAAGTGCTTTTTTTAATTAATTAATTTTTTTTAGATTTTATTTTTTATTTTTATTTATTATGTATACAATGTTCTGTCTGCATGTGTGCTTGCACACCAGAAGAGGACACCAGATCTTATTATAGATGGTTGTGAGCCACCATGTGGTTGCTGGAACTTGAACTCGGGACTTCTGGAAGAGCAGTCTGTACTCTCAACCTCTGAGCCATCTCTCCAGCCCGCAATAAGTGCTTTTAACCATCTCTCTAGCCCCAATGACCCCGTATGATTTTGTTGTTGTTTGTGGAGATAATCTCAAGTTTCATAGGCTTACTTCCAATTTGCATTACTGAAAGGGTTAAATTAGCAGAACTAACTCTATGTTGATTCTCAGACTCCATCCAAGGTTAGCTTGTCTCTGGAGTTCCTTAGTTCCCACCCTTAAGTTCTGAGAAAAAAAAACCCACAGAATGTTCTCAGCAGCTTGCAGCTAGACACAGCAACTGAGGCAGACCGATAAAGACAGGGTCAGTTAAGAAAACATGTTGTTCCCAGGGTCACAATGCTCCTCTTGGCAAGCTGTTCCTCTCTGTGGTTTGGCCAGGTGCTGTTAACTAAGTAAAAGTGCATTTCATGCCTTTACCCTTTGTCCAGTCATGTAACTCCACGCTTGGAGGTCCCTTTTTGTGGTTTTTCCCTTTAAAAACCCTGTTCCCTTGGAGCTGGTGGTCGTTCTCCCAGCCTGCTGTGTCAGAAAGGACTGTGATCCAAGCTCGAGCTTGAATAAAAGACCCTTGTGTGTTTTGCATCGGGCTTGTGGGGTCTCATGGGTGGCCTCATGATCTAGGCCTAAAATTACAATTTGCAACACAGCCAAGGATGCTCTTCAACTGCTTACCCTCTTGCCTCCACTTTATAAATACCAGGTACCACACAATCATCTCTCTCTGTTCCCCCCTTCCTACTCTCTCTCCCTTCTTTCCCCTCTCTTCTCCCTCTGATTTGTTTTGCTTTATTTGAGACAGGATCACATTCTGTACCACGCTAGTCTGCAACTCAACATGTGAACTCAGTAATCTTACTTTTGCCCCGCACCTCCTATATACGAGTATTACAGGAGACAACACACCACGCTGACCTCCAACACAAAAAAATTTCACAGTGACTGGCCACAAAGCCAATGACAGCCACATAACAAATTTACTTAAGTTTAATCACCCCGCTGTTGGGAATGCTGTGAACTTCTGGCTCACGGGTAACCTGTTTCTAGAACCAGAGACTAACTTCTAAGAAATCATCAGTGTGCCCTCTTAAATAAAACAGCTGCTGTCGCCGCATTCCAACGCAGGGGTGGGACTGAGGGCCTAAGTTCAGCACGCGCTGGTCACTACTCCAGAGCGGACGCGAGCGCCCACCAGCCTGCGCCCGCTTCGGGAGTTCCTCTTCCCCTCCCCTTTCCACCCTGCCCCGCCCTTCTCCTCAGGTCTCCTCTCCTCTCCTTTCCCCACCCCTCTTTCCTACCCCAGGCAAACTAAAAACTCAACTCCAGGCCCCTCCCTCCCTCCTTACCCACCCTCCAACCCCCTCAACCGTTTCCTCTTTCCGTCCCCGAAACAGCATCTTCCAGGACGCAGGAGGACGAACCGGAAGTGCGTCATGACCCGGCGCCGGGTCCTTCGTTTGGCGCGCTCGACCTAGGGAGCGGTTTTGGATTCTCTTGGCTTTTCTCACAGATCTCCTCGGGGTTGGAGTATTTTTGTAGCGTGCTGGCCTCTGCTGTAGCCATGCCGTTGTCTATGCTGGGCTCGGCGATGGTGGCCTCTACGTCGGCCGCCACCCTGCAGGAAGCTTTGGAAAATGCGGGGAGGCTTATCGACCGACAGTTGCAGGAAGACCGCATGTACCCAGACCTTTCTGAACTGCTCATGGTGTCGGCCCCAAGTGAGTGATCGGTCTATTGGGAGCTCTGTTATCCTTTGGCGGATTCTAGTCTGATTCCTCTGCCTTAGTCCTTATCTCCACAGTGGTGCCGGCGAGCGCATTCATTCAGAGATTAGGGCTCGATTTCCTGAAATTTTGAGGAACAGCAACCCCCTCTTCGTTTTTATTGCTTATTTTTTTCTTGTTTGTACTTTGTTCATTGTAGATACTTAAAGAGGTAAGAGCAGTCTCATTAAGTCCAAATAAAAAGAGTCTTCTGATCCAGATTCCATTTTGTACTTTTCTTGTATCGATTATCAGCCAATCAGAAAAGCAAACGAGTTAATTTGGAAATCTACCATGCTCTATTAGAGTCATGCCTTATGTATAGATTTAGTACATTTGTAAGTGCTTGGACTAACTAGTTATATATATGAAATATATCTTTATGAAATATATATTTCATAAAAATATTTCCTATATTATATCCATGAAATAAATATATATATAATATATAAATATACACACACACACACGAGTCAGAATGCTGCCTGACAGGGAGGGTGAAATAAAGTATATCTGTCAGCAGAGGAGATAACTAGAAAGTATTTGCCTTAACTTGTAAAAATTGTAACCACCTAAAGGTTTGTGGGATTGCATTAGTCGCTACAAAGTGTTTCTTGTGAGATGAAAGTTGGAGAACAGCAGAGAAGTGTAACATACAAATGAGACTTAATGAGCAAATAAAAATGGAGGTGATTTAAACAGAATAATCGATGTAAAGTAGACCAAAATACATATCTAATGATTTACAAAAATATAGTGAGAGATTTTTAATCAGAAATACTAGAAGCCACCAGGCAGTGGTAGCACACACCTTTAATCCTAGCACTTGGGAGGCAGAGGCAGGAGGATCTCTGTGAGTTTGAGGCCAGGCTAGTCTGCAAAGTGAGTCCAGGACAGCCAAGGCTACACAGAGAAACCCTGTCTGGAAAAATGAAAAAGAAATACCAGAAGCAAAGGTAGTCTTTGCACTTGACAGCTACTAACAAATGGGCTTACCTTATAAAACTTGTTTTGTTTAGCCTGTTAGCCACCATCATCTTAATTTGTCCTTAGGTTTGAAAGCAAGATAAAAATTAATCCATGCTTTCTAAATATGTAACCTCTTTACCTATACTTTCATCCTCACCTAATCCCTTTCTCTTCTAACATTTTTTTCCTCTGCCTAATAGACTCTCCTCCCACTCCATCCCAGAGGGTTTCTCTCTGTAGCCCTGGCTGTCTTCAAACTCACTTAGTAGGCTAGGCTGGTCTCAAACTCATAGGTCTGCCTCCCTCTGTCTCCTGTGTTCTAGGACTAAATGTGTGTGCCATTACCTCCCAGTTCTGTGGAGACTCTTATCGAAAGATTCTAAGTCAGGCGTGGTGGAACACACCTTTAATCTAAGCACTTGGAAGACAGAATCAGGAAGATCTTGAGTTGAGATTAGTGTGGTCTACTTAGTGAATTCCAGGTTGGCCAGAACTATAAAGTGAGACCCTTTCTTCCCTCTTTCCTCCCACCCCCAAAAAAGAAAGTCTTTAGTATCTTTGAAAGTTTTCTTGCCCATTCACATTCTCATCTTCAAAGAAGTTATTCATCCCTTTTATATTTCCACTTCATTTCATATGTGCATTATTCTGTTAAAGTTGTATTTTAAGATTAAGATCTATTTTTAAAAAGAACCCAGTGCAGACATGAACAGTTTTGTGAATGAACCATGTTGGGCAGGCTTACCTGTGATTCAGCCATGGCAATCAGTATTTAATATCAGTTTCCCCAAGATCTTTGCATTCTGAACTAGAGCCTGATAAAGTACCTGGAATAATTAGGTTGACCATCAGGTCTAGTGATTGATGCCCTAAAGGACAAGTCACATAGACCAGCCCACTCCTAGCCCTAGGCTCTTGGTCATGGAGCAAGAGAAAGAAAGTACATAAGAATCCTTTATTGAGAGCAGTCTGTGATCTCCAGTGACTCCCAATAATACATTTCATTATTGATATTTGCATGTGACATGTTGGTCAGGAGGAGAAAATCTAAAGGAAAAAAGGATGGATTGTTTGGTTGGAAGTTTGTTTTGTTTTTTTCAGGACAGCATCTAATATAACTGGGGCTGCTTTTTAACTGTAGTCAAGGAAAGCCTTAAATTCTTGTTCCTTCTGCTCACATCCCAAGAGCCAGACATACAGGCGTATGCCACCATGCTCTATTTTATGCTGATTAGGAATCGCAGCCAGGGATTCAATGCAGGCAAGACAAGGAAACTGCTAGCTGTGCTACAACCTCAGTCTTGATAACGCTCCCTCATGGTTGAAACCAGTAACTGACCCATCCTGTGAGATTTCTCAGTTCTGCTTTATAATATCAGAGAAGTCATGGGCCCCGGGGCAGCTTGAATTGCCATTCTTGGGTTGATAAGTGATATGTTGTTGTATGTAAATGCCTTTTTTTTTTTTTTTTTAGACAGTCCCACTGTCTCTGGAATGTCCGATATGGATTACCCTCTGCAAGGACCCGGGTTACTGTCAGTGCCCAGCCTTCCAGAGATCAGCACTATCCGAAGAGTTCCTCTCCCACCTGAGCTGGTTGAACAGTTTGGACGTATCCTATTGCTTTATATTTAGCTATTTGATAAATATTAGATTAGTCATTTTCATTATTACAATTCCTTTTTTTTTTTGTTTTGTTTTGTTTTGTTTTGTTTGACTTTTCAAGGTAGAGTTTCTCTATATAGCCGTGGCTGTCCTGGACTCACTTAGTATACCAGGCTGGCCTTGAACTCACAGAGATCTATCTGCCTCTGTCTCCCTGAATCCTGGGATTAAAGTCATGTGCGACCACTACCTAGTTTCATTGTTATCATTCTTATGCTTACACAATGTCTATAAAATTTTTAAAGAGTTTTCTTTTCAGAGCCATATATAAACTTTAGTGGTAGAACATTTAACTAGCATGCCTGAGGCCCAGCTGTTCATAATCATTACCCACTTCCCCCAAAATGTTCAGCATTGCATGCTGGTATATACCTGTAATTCCAGTATTCAGGAGGTTGAGGCAAGAGGATTATGGCACTCTGGTAGCTAAGCTGGGTGATGTAGTAAGTTCTTATCTCAAAAATGAGAGTGCCTGGGTAGTGTGCTTTCTGTTAAGGACTAGGTAAGCCGGAGTTGGCAGGCTGGCGTACACATTTAATCCTAGCTCTTAGAGGTGAGAGGCAGGCTGATCTTTGTGAGTTCAAGGTCAGCGTGGTCTACATTAGCACCACGTTACATAGTGAGACCGTATCCAAAAAAAAGGAAAAGAAAGAAAAAAGAAACAAATGAAAAGAATAGAGAAACTGCTAGAAATGATTCAACTGTTAAGAGCACTGGCTGCTTTGCAGATTATATTTCCATTCCCAGCATTCCTTTTGCCTTACATTCACACTTCCTCAGATATGCAGTGTAACTGCATGATGGGTGTTTTTCCTCCTATCAGCAGAGCTTGGCTTACGATTGACAGTGACATATTCATGTGGAACTATGAAGATGGGTATGTAAGGAAGGCTGGTGTGGAATTCTAACCTTTACTGCTTGTTGCAACTCGTGTTCCACCTGTCAGAAGTTGTCTGATTTTACCTTTATCTGTCTCTGGGTCATTGTTTCCCAGTGTGTTTACCAATCATCTGGGGGCATTGAACTGTGGACTTTGGGGCTAGGGAGATACCTCAGTGGCTAAAATGCTTGCTATACAAACAAGAGAGCCTACTTCACATCCTTGACACTCAGAAAGGCCAGGCGTGACAGTCCACATGTAGCCCCAGCACTTGAGGGGCAGAGGCAGGCAAATGCTGACATCCTGCTAGCTACCTGGTCTACCTGAAACAGTGAACTGCTGGTTCAGTGAGATAAATTGTCTCAGAAAACAAGGTAGAGAGTAAAAGAAGACACCCGTCATTGACTAGCCTCTGGCTTCTACACATGTACACACGCAAGCACACCGATGCGCACACATACAGACACTGGGAATTCTAACAATTTCTCGAGCAGTGTTCTTGGTTTAAGTACTGCAGGAGCTCCTCATGGCAAGCACTCTATGGAGCCACATTCCCCAAGTCAATATACTGCTCTTGGTTTTTGTTGTTGGTTGGTTTGCTTGTCTGCAGTCCTAGGGGTTAAATTCTCATTGCGTTATATCCTCAAGTACTTCTCTTGAAGAACAAGGCATAAATTCCAAGTTTATAATCTGTAGAAAAGATTATACATTGGAATCTTTGAGCCATGGCTTGGCATTTAAATTTTTTATTATATTTTAATTGCTGGGTGTGCCCTGGGGTTGGAGGAGCGTGGGTTTAGGTGTGTGGTGTGTGTTCAGCAGTGTATGTGTGGCAGTCTGTGAACAACTTCCGTGAGTCAGCTCTCCCCACCGTGCGGGTCCGGGTGGTGGGCTTTTGACATTTTAAGGAGACTTCTTTTTCCTTGCATTTCTATGGACTAGGAATCTGATAATTATTGAAATGATAATTTGGTTTCATGGTTTTTGACTTTGTGTGTAAATTAAATATATGAATATATAAGAGCCAAAGTCAGAATTTCTTAAACAGAGTAGTATATTGATCTGATTACACGTCTTGGCCTTTACAAGTAAGTTTTGTTTAACTACCATTTCATGTTTCCGTTACTCAGTTACCTATTTTGAGTCATCGGTGTCAACCTTATTGAGATAGGAACATCATTAAGAAGGCCCACGTAGGCCAGCTGTTGCCCTGGCATTGAATAACTAATGCTCCTATTGGAGACATGTATGTGCACATGAACACATTCAAAATACTTATTTGCATCAAAATTGATACCATATGACAACAGAAATTCTGTAGAAAAGCTATTTGCAGTTAAAACTGTATTTAACTAGATGTTTCCATTAGTGTTTTAGTCATAGCAGTGATCTGTAATTGTCCTAAAAATTCTTTACATTAGTGAGTGACATTTTTACTTTTCAAATCTAACAAGCGTTCATTTAACAAATACTTGTTATTACTATTATTGTTGTTATTCTCCTTTGGCTAGGGAACAGTGGGTAGGCTTTTATTGTGGGAAAAAATTGGCTTTTTTTGGCACAAGTTAAGCTGATCTTGGATTTGTTAGTTGGTATAGTTAAGTAGCATATGTTTCTGGATTTCTTTTGAATTTCCATACATGGGTATGCAGATTAAACCACTGGAGCATTTTCTGAGCTCCTTCCCAGAGAATCCTCCATACTCCTTCCCTGTCTCAGCAGAAGATTGGTGTTGACTTGATAGTCAGTGCTTGTAGTTTTGTGGACAGTTTTTTAGGATGTAGTATACCTTTCCCTGCTTCTCTAGCTTATTTTTAGAAAGGACTGTATGCCTGGTCTTAGTCCTTCACTGGTTTTGTTTGCTATTTTATGGTTTTTACTGTACTCTGTATTGAAATTTATTCAACTAATAAAGAGCATTGTAAATAAGATTTAATGTATTTATATATGTAAACAGTTTTCTTTACTTTTGAGCAGAGGTGACCTTGCTTATTTTGATGGACTCAGCGAGACAATTCTTGCTGTGGGGCTTGTGAAACCAAAAGCTGGTAAGAAGTAAAACTGTCAGAATGAGATTGTGACTATCCAGTCTCTAAATGTTTTAGGGCTCACTCAGAAAAGCTTCTATTCTTCCTTCTAACACCTGGCTACAACCACTCTTCTTTTATCTGTATAAGTTTTTTTCCAGTAGTATTTGTCATTTTTTTGTGCAGCTTGCTCCCTTTAGGATGTGTCTTCACACATCATCCATGTTGGGTACTTGAATTTACCATCCAGCCAGGTGTCGCAGCACATGCCTGTAATGCCAGCACTGGGGAGGTGGAGGGAGGAAGAGCAGTTGAAGGTCACCTTCAGCTAAATCACAATATTTAGGCCACCTTGGCTACCTCAAACACTCCCCACAATTTCCTCCTTCTGTATGGCTAGCTGATGTTCGCACTGCATGTGTTTGCTACGTTTCACTGACTCATGGATTGCTTTTATCTTTTAGTGTTCTTATAAATATGGGTATATAAATGCAAATGCTTATAGCTCAGTAAACCAAAACTAATCTGTTATGACACTTAAGATACTGAATGTTGCACCAATTATTTCTTAAGTTAGTTTTGTTCTATTGAACTTTAATGCTTTAATATAGTAATATTTAAGCATCAGAATTTGCTGACCTGGATTTGGACTTTTCACTGTTTAATTAGGAGCTCACTTTAATGGTAAAACTATATTTTATTCATGCCTAAATGCTAGGTGTTGGTTTCATAAAATAATTAGCCTTTGTCTGCTTTGCCGTAGGCATCTTTCAGCCTCATGTAAGACACCTGTTGGTTTTGGCAACCCCTGTGGATATAGTAATTCTTGGACTCAGCTATGCTAACGTACAAACAGGTATGGTAACTCACTCATGGGTTAGGTTTTTTAAAATAACAGTATGTTGAAAATTATTATTATAATGATTTTTACACTAGGTTGGGTTTGTTTTTTTCTTGATATTTTACTGTGATATATGTGTGTACCATTGATGCAGTTTAAGGTAGATTACCGATCTCTTTAGTGAGGCTGTGTGTGTGTGTCTGGGAATTGAGTTCAGGGCCTTACATGTAGAATGCAAGCACTTTACTTTTAAACCGCATCCCTGGCCAGTGTCTTGAACTGTTCTGTTTTGTTTTGTAATAAATATTTTCATTTTATGTGTGTGAATGTTTTGATTATGTATATATATGCATTGTGTGTGGCTGAAGCATGAGGCCAGAAGATGCTATTAGATCCCCTAGAACTTAAGTTACAGATGTTTGTGAACAGCAGTGTGAGTGCTGAGAAATGAGCCTAGGTCCTCTACAAGAACATCAAGTGTTCTTTAAGGACTGAGTCTGAGTCATCTTTCCAAAACTCGCCCTCCTCCGACCCCAGCCAGGACTTTTCTGTTCTTTTGAAAAGTGAAAATGCCCAGGGCTGGAGAGATGGCTCAGTGGTTAAGAGCACTGTCTGCTCTTTGAAAGGACCCGGGTTCAATTTCCAGCACCCACATGGTAGCGCACAACTGTCTTTATCACCAGTTTCAAGGGATCTGACACCTTCACATTAATGCACATAAAATAAAATTAAATAAATTATTTTTAAAAAATGAAAATCCCAACTGCTCAATTTTACCAATAAAGACTCAGGAGCCAGATATTGGGGTGAAATCCTGGTAGCTCAGAGAGGCAGCAAAAGCACCAGCTGACCTTCCTTCTCAGCTCAGGTCCACATGAAAAAAAACCCAAAAGGCTCACTAGCTGAGCTGACAGTCTAAGAGGAAATGACCAAAAAACCCAAGGCCGAAGCCAAAGAGCCAAAGCCAAAAAGTCAGCTCAAAAAGTCCCTTCTTCTGCATGCTGCTTTAAATATCCCTCAACTCAAAGTCCCTTCTACTCTTTAATCCCTGTCAGCTGGTTTCTTGCTCTTCCTCTTGACCTAGGTTAGCTTTATTAAATTCTGTGTAGAGTAAGCTCTTATATTAAAGGTGTGTCCTAGGGATGGCTGAACCACACCATAATTACCTGTATATAATCACCTCTTGGACAAAAAGTGTGTGTTACCGCTCAACTACCAAACAATAAACAGGGTTTGTTTTTTTGGTTTTGGTTTTTAAGATTGATTTATTATGTTTATGGAATTCTGCCAGCAGGTCAGAAGAGGGCACCAGATCTCATTTTTAAATGGTTGTGAATCAGAATGTGCTTGAGAATTGAACTCAGGACATCTGCTCAGGACGTCTGGAAGAGTAACCAGTGTGCTTAACCTCTGAGCCATCTCTCCAGCCCAATAAACAGGGTTTTATAGTTCACAGTCTTGGGGTTCACAATGGGATCACATATCCTGCAACATTTCTCTGTGTTGCATTTGCTGTTCTGGATATATTTTGTAGACCAGGCTGGCCTCAAACTCCCAGAAATCCACTTACCTCTGCCTCTCTGGCTCCACAAGCTTTTATGGTAATTTTAAAAACTATATGATAGACATCTGGGATATTTTAGTACGAATTCAATAAAATTATCTGTTCTGAAGATAATGTGAAGATTATTTTAAAATTTCTTCTGTGGTTTTTCTTGTTGTAACACACAGGTTCTGGCATTCTCAATGACAGCATGTTTGGTGGGATGCAGTTGCTTCCAGATCCTTTGTACTCTCTTCCCACTGACAACACATATCTTTTAACAATCACCTCCACGGATAACGGCAGAATTTTTATGGCTGGAAAGGACGGCTGTTTGTATGAAGTAGCATACCAAGTAAGTCTTAACAATTACAAACTTTTTTTTTTCTTTTGCCCAGCAGGAAAAAGCTTATTTTAAATTTTTTAACTGCATAGTATGTATTATTATTAAGGGAAGTATTGAAGTATAAACTGAAGTATAGTCTTCAGTCACTACTGCACACCCATAAGACCCAGTCCTCCCTCTCCTAGGTAGAAGCCTCTTTTCTGGGTGGGGCAGATGTCAGCTTTCTGGAACTCTGCTCAGAGCGTTACAGGTGTTAGACAAGCACTGTGTCTGAGCCACTGCGTCCATTTCTGATAATCACCCTGATAATCTGATCCCTGTGTGTCTTTTTAAAGCATGATACTTACATTGGTATATGTGTACTTATAAACACGTGTCTATAAATATCTGTGTACATATGTTTGTGTGTATGTACAAGCAAGCAGGATACTCTCGCAAATATATGTCCTTAGGTTACTATTGCTTATTTTTACCATTGGCTTTTCATTGAATAATGTGTCTTGTAAGTTATTTGTTGTATTTAATACATATTTTTAATTACAGAATAAAACTCAGTGGGTAATTTCGAGACGCATGTTTCATTGTATTTACAATCACTGGTGAATCATGGAGACTTACAGGTTTTAGTGAGCATGGATGCAGTCATTGTGTTCTATGGCATTACAAGTCTTGTGTTGCTTTTCCTTCCAGGCAGAAGCAGGCTGGTTCAGTCAGAGATGTAGGAAGATAAACCACTCAAAGAGCTCACTTTCCTTCCTTGTTCCTTCTTTGTTGCAATTCACATTCTCAGAGGATGGTAAGTAGGAAACATTGGACAAATAAAACAATTTTTGGTACTTCTAGACTTAACTCTTTTCAGAAATTTTCCGAATTTTCTTAAGTGAAATACTTGTTACATTAAATTGCATTTGTTACATGTCTGTGAAGTCTCTTAAAGACCAGAGGTATTATAAAACAGAAGAAAATTGATTTTATTCTCAAGTTAGTTATTTCCTAAAAATTTAGCCTCATTCCTGGATCATGTGTCCAAAACAGCTTTTCTCTTTGGTTTAAAGGGTTTGTGTGTGTGTGTGTGTGTGTGTGTCTGTCTGTCTGTCTGTCTGTCTCTATACATACATAAGTAAGAGCAAGAAAGATTTACATAGTGATAAATGGTCAAGAGTAAAGTCCCAGTTATATCCCTGAGATTTAATGAACTTGGAAACAAGCAGCAGGATTAAACTGGGCATCCTGGTGCATACCTGTAATCTCAGTACTTCAGGTGCAGGAACAGGTTAATTTTTGTGCATCCAAGGGTCAGCCTCGGCTGCACAGCAAGCTTGAGGCCAGCTAGAACTACATGGTGAGACTCTCAAAAACAAAATTTTAAAGAACTTAGAATTCTAGATGACAGAATAAGTTGTTTTTGTTTTAAGACAGAATTTTGCTCCACGGCCCAGCCTGGCTTGGTAACTCTCTATTTCTCAGACTCTGTCCTTGTGCCATAGCCTGCTAAGAGCTAGGATTGCTTGGGAGTGCCATCCAGTACCTTGCCTGACAGTGTAAGTTATTTGTGATGCTCCGTCAGTATTTGACATCTTTGTCTAACTTAAATGTTCCTAAATCTTCTTATGCAAATATTGTAGACTATAACAACCAAGCAGGAGTAGAAAGACCCTGAAGGCAAATCCTACTCCACAAGTTTTAAGATGTTATGAATGGAGCCTGTGTTCAACTGGCAATCTGTAGGGTTGATTTTCTTCTTTTGTTTACTTTTAGATCCTATTGTTCAAATTGAAATTGATAATTCCAGAAATATTTTGTATACACGATCAGAAAAAGGAGTAATACAGGTAAATATGCATATTTGTTACCATTTAAGAGTAGAAGAGTATCCCTGTGTTATATTTTAGGTTTTTACATTTATTTGTTTGTGTATACTCGTGCATATGCACACCTGTGTGACGCAGCCCACATGTGGAGGTAGAGGGTAACTTTAGAGTCAGTCCTTCCTTTCTGCTGCAGGATCTAGAGCTGGCACTCAGGTTGTCAGACTTATAGTGGCCAGTGTCTTTAGCCAGGACCTGCTTACATATCTGTTTTCTAAGGATGATTTAGTCATTCGCACTTCCTGTGAACTGTGATTTTGTTGTTGTTGTTTGAGAAAAGTTTTCATATTACCTCAGATTGACCCTAAGCTTGCTCTATAGCCAAGGATGACCTTGAACTCTTCGCCTGCCTCTACCTCCCAAGTGTCTGGCGTTACTGGTGTGTAATCAACCATACCTGACTTCAGCTATGTGCTTTTTCAAGTAAACCCCTCAAACCTTTTCTTAGGTTTGTTTGTTTGTTTGTTTGTTTTGGTGAGATTTCAAACATTTTAAACTTCGGTAAGTACCATATTAAGTATTCTTTAAGATAACAAGTTAATTTTAATATAATGTGTATGCTATGTAGCTGTGTCTAAAGGAGAGCATTTTTTTATTCACAGGTTTATGATTTGGGCCATGATGGACAGGGCATGAGTCGAGTTGCCTCAGTGTCACAGAATGCCATTGTCTCTGCTGCTGGAAACATTGCTAGGTAATGTGTACTTTATTGTCAGCAATTCATTTGCAGACATTTGTACTGTTCATGCTATATATATATATATAAATCTCTTATATACCCTATATAAATACTGTAGCATAGATACATTATATGGACTAAGATTAAATTATGCCTCCAAACTTCTCTAAGATTATGAATGGGGGAAGGAAGAGAAGGTGAGCCTAGGAGGGGAGGAGGAAAGGGGCTACGAGGATGTAAACTGAATAAAATAAATAAGTGAGAAAAAAAGATTAGGAATGATTAAGGAACATCACAGTAAGTATTGTTTGAAACCTTGTAACTACAGACTGTTCTCATGTTTATGTGAAACATAAGGTGGTATGTCTTACTGAGTGAAGTATAGCTTGTTGGGTTTCACACTCTTAGACTTTTTTGTCCAAAGGTGCTGAGCATCAAACCCAAGTTCTCCCACAGAATTTGCAAGCTTCCTACCATGTATCCAGACCTCCAACGTTTTTCCTTGCAACTTTAAGCTCCAGTTCTTTGAGATGTAGGTGAAAGATAATGCAGGTCAGCTATTCTTGCCTTCCAACAGGCCTAGGTAGTACATGTTAGAATTTCATAGCTGTAAGATTCTCATTTAATTCATGACAAACAGAAACTAAAACATATAATGACCTTTTTTTTCCTCTTAAGGAGCTAGAACCCATCCTGAAATCTAAGAAATTTTGTATCAGACTCTGAAACTGATTGTTGCAAGCTTTTTCTAAATTTCTTAATGATCTGCAAACATTCTCCTCACTTTATAATAGAATTCTCAACTTTTCAATTTAGATTGTCTGTATAACAAAACTTCAGCTTTCTACCGGCTTACCAGTTACAAAAATGTATATTCTAAGTGCAAACCATTAGACAAGATCTCCATTGTTTTTTAATCTGTCTTCTGGAAAACTTTCCAAATCTATAAGAAAACGAACAGCATGTTAAAAAGTGATGTATTGACAGGATGGTGATGGAGCTTGCTTTTAGTCGTAGCACTTGGAAGACAGAGGCAGGTGGATTTCTTTGAGTTCTGAGGCCAGCCTGGTCTACAAAGAGAGTTCCAGGATAGCCAGGGCTACGGAGAAACCTTGTCTCAAGAAACAACAAACGAGCTATACTGAACTGGAAATAGTGGTCCATATCTAGTCCTAGAGCCTGGTGGCTGTGGCAGGAAAATAATAACTTTTTGCGAGCTTGTGCTACACTGTTTGGAAACTCTGTCTAAAACTTTTTTTTTTTTTTTTAAGATTTATTTACATTGTATACAGATATCATTCTAGGTGGTTGTGAGCTACCATGTGGTTGCTAAGAATTGAACTCAGGACCTCTGGAAGAGCAGCCAGTGCTTTTAACCTCTGAGCCATCTCTCTAGCTGCTCAAAACTATTAGAATGAACAAGAGATAAACCTTTATATAAATTGATAAAAGGCCTACGTATGTACTTGGTCCAAAATGACCAATTATAATTTAGGTGATCTATTTAAATTTCCCAATTGCTAATATTTTCCTCTTGTGTAACCTTCCTTATTAGCCAAGCCATTTATAAGTAAAATGCAGGTATCATGCCTTTCCACAGTGATCACATTTCAGAAAATTAGCAAGCGAGCAAGTAGAGCTCAAAAGGCATACATAGGCCAGCCAGGACTACATAGTAAAATCCTCTTCAAGACAAAGTTAATGATAAAGAAGGGAGGGGTGGGAGAGAGGAAGTCGGGCTATTATAACTACGTAATTACATAGTGAATATTTAATTTGCCAGTATTAAAGTTTTGACTATTTTTCTATTGTTTTTGACTTACATTCTGATTTGTCTGATAAAGTATGGTTCCTCCTCTTAAAGAAAAAAAGCATAGAACTCTTTATGAGTTTGCATGTCATCATGTACAGCAGCCATATGATTCTCATGATTCCAGCCTGATTAAATGAGTTGCTAAAGCCAGTACAACTCTAAAATTATTATGGCTTTTTCCTTTAAAAGTCTACAATTAGAATTATGTTGTTACTCTTTAATACAGAATACCCTTCTCATTCATTGTGTTTTATTTTTCATTATGTTGACATTTGGGAGGAAGGTACAGAAGTTATGTATAAAATATTCTAATCTCTCAATTTGTTTTCTGATCTATAATTAGATTCCTAGTAATGTTTAGTTTTGTTTACTTAAACAAGAGTTTAATGTATTCCAGGCTGATCTTGAATTCCTGATCCTCCTGTCTCTGCTTCCCAAGCACTGGGACTGTAAGTATGTACCACCACACCCGGCTCTCACTACTCTCTCTATCACTGCATCTGGAGGCACTTCATGTCACTTTCCCCACTGGCAGTCCTCTGCATTATTAATGTCTCAGTGACAGAGGTTTATTTTCTCCCTTTTAATCAGTAGTAAATTGCTACTTGGGTAATTTAATGCCTTGAGAACGCTTTAGCTCTTTGGTTTTAATCTTTTTTAAATGGTCCTTTTAGTGATTTATAAAGAGGGCTGGTCTTAAAATTACACATATACTCAAGTTTTGCTGCTTCCTGCTGCTACTATGTTAATTTCTAAGGAATTAATCTTATTTATATATTGAGACAGGGCCTCTCTGTCTGGCCATCCTGGGGCTCACTACATGATCCAGTCTGGATTAGAGGCGTACACCACACCTGCCTCTGTGTTGACTTTTTATAAATTAAAAATAAACTTTATTTTTTGTTTCTTATAGGACTATTGATCGTTCTGTTTTTAAGCCAATTGTTCAGATAGCAGTAATTGAAAACTCTGAATCACTGGATTGTCAGTTACTGGCTGTCACTCACGCAGGTATGTTTTTCATATCTGATCTGCTATTGGTTTACACAAATTTTGATGATAACTTCGATTGGAAATTTATGGTCAGGAATGTTTTCACTCCTTCAGCTATGTTGAGAATTCATAAAATGAGGTTTGTTTCTTTAATAGGAGATGCTGTTTTCTCTACACATTGTGATGTATAGCCTGACCTGCAAACAGCCTTAACTGAGACAAGACATAAGTTTCCTTGGCTTGTCACAAGCTCTCACTACAGAAATGTATTGAGTCACTGCTCAGCACATTACATTTGTAGAATTTTGTTTAAATTGCCGATGTAGCTTTTTTTAACTATAATTTATTCACTTTTTATCCCAGCTGTAGCCCCCTCTCTTGTCCCCTCCCTCAGCTCCTCTTATTCCCCTCCCCCAGTCCACTGATAGGGGAGGTCTCCTCTCCTTCTCTCTGACCCTAGTCTATCAGGTCTCATCAGGACTGGCTGCATTGTCTTCCTCTGCGGCCTGGTAAGGCTGACCGCCCCTCAAGGGGAGGTAAGCTGATCTATCATTTTAGGCCAATAAGGAAAGTAGTGTGTACTTTTCCAGAAGTCTGTGTGTGTGGATGTCCTCACTATATGTATTCTTCAGGTCCTTCCTTTTTCTTATGAATGCATATTTTTACCTCTTCTTCAGGTGTGAGGTTGTATTTCAGCACTTGCCCATTTAGACAGCCATTAGCTCGGCCCAATACGCTGACGCTGGTTCATGTCCGGTTACCTCCTGGATTCTCAGCATCTTCAACAGTCGAAAAGCCTTCGAAAGTACATAAAGCTCTTTATAGTAAAGGTAGGTTCTGAAATGCTGTAAGATTTAAAATTAAACTGTTTTATTTTCTAATGTGTATGAGTGTTTTGCTTATGTATGTCTGCACACCATGAGCATGTCTGGTGTCACTGGAGGTGAGAAGCGTGCATCAGATCTCCTGGAATTGTAGTTTTTACAGGCGACTTTGAGCTGCCACATATGCACTGAGAATTGAACCCAGGTTCTCTGCAAGAGCAACAAGTGCTCTTAACTGCTGAGCCATCTCTCTGAGCACCATTCCCTCCCCCGGACCTCTCTGTAGACCAGGCTGGTCTTGAACTTAGAGAGATCTGCCTGTGTCTGCCCTCCAGGTGCTGGGATTAAAGATGTGTGCTGCCATGCCAGGCTTTTTCAACATGTTCTTGTTCAATACCCAAACTTAATTTTCTTTTGCAAGAAGAATTTTTTTTCAAATAAATAATACTGTATATCATCATAATACTTTTAAAATTATAACTTTATTGACATTTCTCATCAAAATTTAACCTTCTAAGGTATAAAAATCGGTGGGTGTTAATTTATAGTTATAGAGTGATCACCACTGTCCAAGTTGAAAATATTTTCCTTACCCCCAAAAAAAGGTCATGTCTTTTTTTCTGTTCTAGCTCTGGAAAATGTTTGACCTTTTTAAATAATTTGTCCATTTCGACATTTTATAAGTAATGAATATATGACTTGCATTGAGTTGCATTAAAACACAGTGCTTTCAGGTTAATGATGGTATAATGGATATTAGTACTTTCTCTCCCATTAAAAAAAAATATATGTATATATGTATGTATGTGAAAGTGGGGTACCCATGCGCCCCGGTCTGTTTGTTGGCATGAGAGCATAATTGAGGTAAGGGGCTCTCTCATTCCACCAGGTACACACCAGAAATCAAACCAGGTTATCAGACTGACAGCAAGTGCCTTTACCTGCTAAGCTAGCTCTCTGGCCCCTGTTTTGTTTTGAAGCAGGGTTTCATTCTATAGACCAGGAACTACATAGCCCAGATTGGCCTCAAAATTGCAAGTCTTGCCTCAGCTTGCCTGGTGCTGGGATTACAGACAGGAGCTCCTTTACCTTGCGTGCATCCTCCTTCATTGCCAAGTAATGTTTAATTTTGGAAATCATTCATTTGTATGGTTTCTTTGTATTATGAATGGTTTCCATACTGGCTTTTACAAGGACATCAGTTTTCTTTGCTTTGGGATTGAAATTGGTAGATCGTGTGGTCATTTTGATTTGCCTATGAGTAGCTCTCAGACTGTCTTTCAAAGCAACTAGGATGTTTACATTCTTGCCTATTTTGTAAGGGTATACCCACAGTGGCTACATTCTTGCCAATACTTGCTTCTGTTTTACTTCCATTTTAGTGTGGCTTTTTTTCTGTGGCTAGTTTTCTTTTTTTTTTTAAATGCTTTTTTATTTAAAGATTGATTGGTTGGTTGGTTGATTGATTTATACAGTATTCTGCCTGAATGTATGCCTACATGCCAGAAGAGGGCACCAGATCACATTATAGATGATTACAAGCCACCATGTGGTTGCCGGGAGTTGAGCTCAGGACCTTTGGAAGAACAGCCAATGGCTCTTAACCTCTGAGCCATCTCTTCAGCTAAAGATGTTAAGCAGCTTTCCAGGTGCTTCTCAGCCATTTACCTTTCTCCTTTGCAAAAAAAAAAAAAAAAAAAAAAAAAAAAAAAAATGTTCTGAACCTATATTTTTGTATTTTTTTTTTATTGAATTGAGAGTTAATTGTACATTCTCCACACAAGTCCCTTATCCAGATAAGTGATCTGCTGATATTTTTGTCATCTGTGGATTATCTTTTTATCTGAATATCCTCTATATGCTTTATCATTTTACTGTTAGATTTAGTAGATTTCCCCCCTTCTAATATTTAAATTTTATTTTGTGTTGGTCTACGTGTGTAGGCACATGTCTGCCATGTGGGGAAGTTAGGGGACAAAACCTAGGAGTTCCTTCCCCCAAGTAGGTTCTAGAGTCAAATTCCAGCCATCAGTCTTGCTTACAAGACCTTTCCTTTATGAGGCATCTTTCCAGCTTTGTTAGTAACATTTATGTATCAGGGAAAGAAGGGGCTTTGTTGGCGTCTATCTATCTACCCACCCATCCATCCATCCATCCATCCATCCATCCATCCATCCATCCATCCATCTAATGGTATCACAGGTCAAACCCAGAGCCCAGGACCTGCCAAGCAAGCCCTCTGCCTGCTTCTAGCTGCATGTTCAACCTCCAGGATGGGGTTTTACCTCATTCTTTTGCTTTGGATATCTTCTTGTTTTACAAGCATTTTTTTTTTTTAATCTTTCTCTATTTTACTGCTTCTGCCGTTGCATCAAGTAAATTGCCTATAGATATATGCTGTCTGGACTAAGTTCTGTCTGTTGATGAATATCTCTTAAGCTTAATTACTGTTGGTTTTCAGTAGGTTGTTTGTTTTGTTTGTAACAAGGTCTCATTATATAGACCTGGCTAACCTTGAAATCATAACCCTCCTGAGGATGAAGATGACAGTCATATACCACCACACCCTTTGTTTTCCTTTTGAAGATGTACTTTTAAGTATGTTTTTTCAGGCGTGTGCGCCAATACACTCCCAAACCAGAGACCTCAAATTCCCCTGAAGTTGGAGTTATATAGGGTGTTAGGAACTGAACTCAGACCCTCTGAAAATCAGTACAAGCTCTTGATGCTCTTAATTTTTGAGTTGTCTCTTTTAAAGTTTATGTCATTCTTCCAACGGTTTAAATTGGCTTCTGGTTTGTTTTTGTTTTTGTTTTTGTTTTTCAAGACAGAGTTTCTTTGTGTAGCTTTTGCTTTCCTGGAACTCTTTGTAGACCATGCTGACTTCAAACTTACAGAGATCTGCCTGCCTCTACCTCCTGTATAATAGGATTTGGCTTCTTTTTTAATTCATAATATTTATATTCTCTTTGAGGCAATTACAAATAAAGTTAAATTTCTGTGTTCCTCACAACCACAGCACTAGAGTTAAGTTTTAAATCTACAAAAGATATTCAGGAAAAAAATGGTAGTGTTCTCATTGTGTATACAATGCAATAAATCCTGCAGGCTCTCTTTTTTTTTTTTTTTTTAACAGATTTTTACTTTATATGTATTGGTGTTTGGCTTGCATGTATGTCTGGGCATCACATGCATGCCTATTGCCCATGAAGACTAGAAGAGGTCATCAGATCCTCTGGAACTAAAGTTCCCTATGGTTGTGAGCTGCCATGTGGGTGCTGGGAATAGAACCCAGGTTCTCTGCAACAGAATAGCCAGCACTCTTAACCTCTGTCCTGTATCTTCAGCCCTGGAATTTAAACTACTGGCACTGTATATTTTATTACCTATATATAGTCATGACCTACAAAAAAGGACACAAGATGAATGTCACTAAAGTCAGTGATAAGGGGTCAATTTAGGTAGAGGAGCTTGAATCAAGCATAGGAGAATATACACTGGTGCCTTTGTGTGTGTTTTAGTCATGATGCATTAAATCACTGACTATTTCACTGACTGAGAAGATACTGACTTTAAGAAAAAATTTTATATACTGAATAATCTTTTTAAGTTACTAATGGAAATGGATAAATCCATCAATTACAAAATATATTCTAACTTCAGAAATAGAAAAATGTGAAAAAAATAAATGTTCAATTTATTTGTAAACATTCTTAGCTAGATACCTGATTTTTTCGATCACAGTTTATTTAAGAACAAAATCCTATTCTTCCCATGTTAGATTGTTTCTGCCATTGTATAAGTTGTATGTATTATTGATTTTATTAGGAATGTAGATTGCTTAGCTTCATGTATAATATTGTGTGTGTTTAACTTTTAGGAATTTTACTGATGACAGCCTCTGAAAATGAAGATAATGACATTTTATGGTGTGTCAACCATGATACATTTCCTTTCCAAAAGCCAATGATGGAAACTCAGGTTAGTTGTTTAGAGACTTCTAGTATGTCTTGTGTATGGTTCTGGGCTCAACAGACACAAACATGAGAACTGTGTACAAAAAACATTTTTTTCAGAAAGAAATTTTTAAATTTTTTTAGGTTTTTAAGTTTAATGGGTATCAGTGTTTTTCCTGCATGTGTGTATGGACACTTACGTGCATGCATGGCATCCCTGGAGGTTAGAAGAGGGCGTAGGGTCCTCTGCAGCTGGAGTTATGGGTTGTTGTGAACAACCATATGAAAACTGGGTCCTCCCCAAGATCAGCAAGTGTTCCTAACCACTGAGCCATTTTCCAGCCCCAAAGAAAGTAATCTTAGAGTAAAGAAATGTATATCTTGCTAATTTTTACTTTTTTCTGTCAGACCAAAAGTGATTATAATAATCACAATAAATAAACAATCTTTCTTTTTGACAGTTCTCATTATGTAGCCCTAGATGGCTAGACCAGACTAACCTTAAACTCACAGAGACCCACCTGCCTCTGCCCACCAAGTGGTAGGATTATAGACAAGTGAGGCCATGACTATAAAAACATGCTTTAAGAACATCTTTAAGAGAAGACATTGGAGTTTGTTTTCCTTGTATTATGTGTGAATTTAGGTGTCATAGAATGGCTTTCTGAAGTTGCTTCTCTTCTTCCTTCTTTACATGAGTTTTGGTTATCAAACTCAGTTCATTGGTCTTTCTAAGCCATCTTGCTGACCCTGCAACCATTTTAGAATGTTAACTGTAATATAGCTGAAAAGAAATGTGATTTTTTTTTAAATTATCTTCATCGCATATAAATATAATTTCATTTAGTAATGAGCTACTCAATCTCCCTGAATTAGAGTTCTATACTACTAATCTGTGACGTTACCTCACTTGTAAATTATTCTTTTTTTGTTTTGGTTTGCTTTGGTTGGTTTTTTGTTTGTTTGTTTGTTTGTTTGTTTGTTTGTTTTTTGAGACAGGGTTTCTCTCTATAGCCCGGAACTCACTCTGTAGACCTGGCTGGCCTCAGTCATAGTCATAGAGATCTAGCCTACCTCTGCCTCCCAAGTGCTGGGAATAAAGTAAAGTGCTCTTGTTGATTAGAAAAATTCCACCACTGGGGATTAAAGTATTCTTATTAATTAGAAAATCTTTCAAATGATATCAGTGCTAAACTGAACCTCATTACAAAATTGCCAACATTTTTCATTACATTTTACTTTTCTATGTATAAACACACACTGACAGAGTTGTAGGGATTGTTGTTTATTTTTTGAGACAAGGTTTCTCTGCATAGCCCTAGCTTTTCTGGACTCACTTTGTACACCAGGCTGGCCTGGAACTCATGCCTCTGCCTCCCAAGCACTGTGTACCACCACACTGGCTAGAGTTGTGTTAATGCGAATAGCAACTGGAGTGACACTCCCATGAACCCTAGACCATCCTGCATTAGTCCTGGTCTGTGATGAGCTAATGGGTCAACTTTCTTCCACTAGTGTCCTTTGTCTACTGTTGTCTGTCCTATTTATTCTGCTAAGCTTTCAGAAAGAGCTAACCATGTCCAGCTAAACCAGCCATCTTTATTAATATGTAGTATTTTCTCTCCTTTTTGGGAGTTTGGGACTTTATTTGCTTGTTTGTTTGCTTGTTGAGAACACATCTCACACTATAGCAGGCCTGGAACTGACCCAGGTTGGCCCAGAATTCATGGTAATCCTCCTACCTCAGCCTTATGTGTGCTAGAATTATAAGCTTCAACATCACATCTGGCTGAAAACCAAGTTTTAAGTAAATCATTGTTTTCTTCCTTCAATTTGTTACATTGTAGTAATGAAGACACTAGTTACAGTAGTAACCCAAAGGATGGTTATGAGAATCAGGGCTGTTGCCACGTAGAAACCCAAAACCCAAAAACCAAAGACCACGCAGTACAACCAAAGACTGAATTGAGTCTGTATTGAGCCAGCCAGCAGCTACCTGGAGAGAAACACTTCTTACAGAGCAGCCTTGAGTACATTTTATATAAAGACAAAGAACAGTGAAAAACTGCATCCTGATTGACAGTTGCAGGAGGATATAAAACAAGCAAGCAGTTTAACAGAAGCCAAAGCATGCAGTTAGCTGGAGCATTTTAACCCTGAGTTTCTAGAACAGGGTTGGGTACTTTTCCACAGGACTTTTTTTTACAGGGTTTAGAAAAGGAGGGCTTAGTTTCAGGTTAAAACAAAGATGGCTTCAACTGAGACAAGGTGGGGGAACCCTTGTCCTGTTGCAAGGAAGAGGTGCTTTGAGCACATAATCCTGTGCCTTGTGCACAATATGTGCCTATCCTCTGACTGGAGCAAGGGACATTTTAGTTCTAACTGTCAGAGGCTGGTTCTTGGTAAATCTGAAACTTGAAGTCTTCAAGTTTGGGAGAGCATGTGGTATGTAGGGGAATATATATAGCCATCATGTGGTTGCTGGGAATTGAACTTGGGCCCTTTGGAAGAACTGTCAGTGCTCTTAACCTCTGAGCCATCTTTCCAGCCCTCTACCAAGCTTCTTAAATGGTTCTTAGAGTAGGGCTGAGGACAGGCGATATATAAGGAAGTAAGCAATGCCTTTTCTTTTTTTTTTTCTTTTTTTAATCTCTTGAGCCTTTGAGCATTACTGAGAATCTACTATTAGCTTCATGTTATAATAAATAAAAGATTCAGAAAGATACAAATGCAGTCCTGATTGGGAGCAGGGATTAGGTTTGAGATTTAACTCAACTTCTTAGCTATGTGTTAGAGGATTTAGTGATTTTTTTTTCACTCTTATTTCCTCATGTATCATAGTTGGAATAGTACTTCTGTGAAAATGCCGTGGGATTAAATGAAATCATGTATATGAAACATACATCATTGTCTGGGACAGAAAAAGAGTCTAATACATGTAAATTTTTTGTTGTTTTGTTTATTGAGACAGAGCCTCACTAAAAAGCCCAGACTAGTCTGAAACTCACTGTGTAGCTAGCTCAGATGACCTCAGACTAAGTATTCCTCTTGCTTCACCCTTTCAGTGCTTGGATTTACAGGCATGAGTCACTACACCCAGCTTAACTTTTTTTCAAAGTAATTATTTCATTTCTGTAATAGTTAAGTTCTCAAACAGATGTGAACTTTTATTTAAAAATAAAAATTATCAGCCACCAAATACAATAATAAAATTCTAGTTTTCTAAAAATAGATAAACGAGACAGTTGAAAATTTTGTATAGACTAGACATTGAATTAATTAGGTAATTGTCAGCATTCTTAAATGTTACATTGATGTGGTTTTATAGAATATCCTTATTTTCTGGACATACATGCAGAAGTATTTAGGGTAACATGTCCGTTGCTTCCAAATGATTCAATAGAGGAAAAGTATGCAGAAAGAAGAGAAAGTAACTATGTCAGAACACTAGTTGAGATTAGGTATTGTACATATGAATAAAGAGGATATCTTATAACATTTTCCAGTGCTTGAAATGCTTTTTCTAAAATATCTTAGAAGAGTAAAACTTTTGTGTTTATGTTTTGTTTTTAAAGGATCTTACCTTAGAAAGGAAATAGAACAATGACGAAAACAGTCAATGTCAGCAAAAAACACTAAATCTTCCAGTTAGATCCCTCTGTATAGAGTCTTAAATAGCCATTCTCTGGCTGTTAAGAGAATTATAGTAGAGCAGTAGACCTTAGAGCCTATCTTACGAAACTTTGCCTTGTCCTTTGGATTGAAAAGGTTGTTAATATTCCTGCTAGTGTTCACCTATGATCCCGTTGGAAGGCAGAGGCAGAGTTTGAGCCAAGCCTGGAAAACATAGCATGCCTCAAAAAAGGAAGGCAAAATGGAAGAGACAAAAAATTTTCTTTAGAAGATGCTGTTTAAAACTAAAAATCTAGGGGCTGGAAAGATGGCTCAAAGATTAAGAGTACTGGCAGCTCTCCCAGAAGACCCAGGTTTAATTACCTACATGGCAGCTCTCAAATGTCTATGAACTCCAGTTCTAGGGTATCCAGTACTCTCTCACGGGCACATGCAGGCAAAACACCAGTGCACATAAAAATAATAATAATAATAACAACAACAACAATTTGCTGGGCAGTGGTGTCACACACCTTTAAACCTACTAGGGAGGAAGAAGCAGGTAGATTCTGAGTTTGAGGCCAGCCTGGTCTACTAGGGTATTCCAGGAGAGCCAGGGTGATATGTAGAAAAAGAGTAGAAATCTAAAGCCAGGTGGTGGTGGCACTCATCTTTACTCCCAGCAGTTGGGAGGCTGAGGCAAGTGTATCTTTGAGTTCATGGCCAGTCTGGTCTACGAATCAAGATCCAGGATAGCCCAGGCTGAGCAGAGAAACCCTGTCTCAAGTCCTCCCACCCCCCAAAAAAGTAAAAAGCTAAATATATGTTGGTTATGTTCATGTTACTGGAGCTTTGGGGGTTTGGTTGTTTTGTGTGTGTGTGTGTGTGTGTGTGTGTGTGTGTGTGAGAGAGAGAGAGAGAGAGAGAGAGAGAGAGAGAGAGAGAGAGAGTTTTATTTTCTAGAAGCTTCGGCATATGTGAGTTGAACAAAATAGGAAAACAGTGTATTTCTTTTTTATAGATGACAACTCGTGTTGATGGTCATTCCTGGGCTCTTTCTGCAATAGATGAATTAAAAGTAGACAAAATAATCACACCTTTAAATAAAGATCATATTCCAATAACTGACTCACCAGTTGTTGTACAGCAGCACATGTTGCCTCCGAAGAAATTCGTTCTCCTCTCAGCACAGGTACTTGTTCATCTGCTTACCGTTGAGTAGAAGGAGCTATATTAAATGTACTAAAGTCTTTCTTTCCTTGTGGTGCTGACAGTTGAACCCAGGAACTTCTGCATAGTAGGCCAACACTACCACTGAGCCATACCCCCCCTGGTCTGGGTATGTAATGTTTTTGTCAAGTACACTCAGGTGTCACTTCATGGAATTGTTTTTTAACAGTGATGAATTGACGTAGAAAATATGTAAAGTAAAATCTTCCATCCAGACTTTTGTGTTATCAGTATTTGGAATTACTGGTATTTTGGAATTTTGGTTTCTTTAATAATACAGAAATGTTGTGAGAATATGTTTTCATTTTAATCCCAGGTGTGAAGATATGAGGTTGCTTTGCAGCAGCGGACTGTGATTTACCTCTTGCTCTGTCAGGGTTATAGTTTTGCCATCTGCAGATAGTTTCTGGGGTATGACGTTTGGAATTCTGGGGACTTCTCAGAGGGATATAAACGCTAGAGCCCCAATGGTGTCTTGGTTGTTGGTTACTGTTGGTTGCTCTTGGTCATGGTTTATTAAGAAGTCATGCGCAAAGAAGAAACAAGAAGAAATTAGATATCTTGACGGCAAAGGTGAAACTTGCCCCAAGGAACTCAACACCCCCAATCAGAAGGAAGTAGTCTAATGATAACATCACCCCCTTTCCAATCCCTGGCTTCATTCAGGGATCTCTTTCTTTTCCTCTCTATCCTTTTTCCTCTCAAATCTAATGTTAGGGGGTTGAAAGAGAAGAAAAGTGGAAGAAAGAGGAACCCACAAAGTAGTAAAAGGTCAGCCACAAGTATCTAAGTATTTATTTACAGATACTTGAGAGAATACAATGTAAATATTTCTAAGCAGATGTTGACATTCTCTACACTGTTCTATACCTTGCTTTTTAAATTTCAAAATTATCTTTTATAGATCTTTTTGTACTTACAGTCATTTTATTTTATATTTGGCAGTAATTTCTTTGTGTGAATGTGCCCTGTCTTCCTTATTTCATGTGTGCACATAAAGGTGTAGTATTACTTCTGCTTATACCAAGAGTATATGTATCTATAATTTATGTAGATAATGCCAGATTTCCATGTATATTCACTAGTCATTTCTGTAAATGTGTTTCTTCATAACCTTCCCTAGTACATTTTACTACCCTAGTAAGAATGGTGTTGGCTACCTTTTCAAATGTTTGTTTTGCTATATACTGTCAGTTCCTGTTCTATATAATGATGCTCCCTTATCTATAAAGTTTTGCTTTCCAGAGTTTCAGTTGCTTCTTCCTCCCTATCAGATTTTTCCTGGAAATGAATGGAAACATTTTTATGATCTAAATGTAAAGATGTTCTGAGTAGCATAATGCACTGTCCCTTTGACATCTTCTTGTACTATGTGATACTTCCTATTAATCACTTAGTAGCTGTCTTGGTTATCATATTTTCTTTCCTGGTGTTGTGGTTGTTTATAGGATTGGTTATGTACAGTTTCAAGCATGTGAGGGCATAGGTGGTTCTTGTAGTCTGTACCCTGAGGATAAGAGCAGACTACTATGTCACCATTTCTGTAGAGTTGTATATTTATTATGTAAAGACTTGTTAAGCTTTATGTGTCACAGAAACTAAATTTTAGTATTTTAGTTATAATTTTACTTTGTCCTTTGAACCTTGCATCTACTTGGAGTATATCCTGGTGTAATGGATGGTAAAGATCCCACTTTTTTGTACAAATAGAAATATATGTGCCTACATAATTAATGAATAATCCAGCTAATTCTCTATTTCAAGGAACAGCACGAGGGTGGGGAAGGTTATTTTTTTGTAGATATGGAAATTGAGAATCGGTTGGTTGTTGAAATATAGATGATCTTGTTGTCCAGCTTATTTTGTGTTCTCGGAATTGCTTATTGTTAAGTAAGGAAATAGTCAGTTATTACCAGCCAGGCTTTTTTGTGTGTCACTGGGTAGCGAACTTAGAGGCTGTGCATGCCAAGGTAGAGATCTACCCCTGAACTACATCTCCAGCCCTCTGCCAGTCAGGTTTGGTGATCGGATTCTCATGTTAGTTCTCGTTTTTTATTTCTTAGGGTAGTCTTATGTTTCACAAACTTAGACCTGTAGATCAGCTGAGACATTTGCTTGTGAGTAATGTGGGCGGAGATGGAGAAGAAATTGAGAGATTCTTCAAATTACATCAGGTAACTATGCACTGCAATGGGATATTGTAAGTAAGGAAGCAATAAGAATGTTAAACATTGTAAAATACAGATTATCTGTTCTTTTCTATACTTGAATCAACATGTGTGCTGATTTTGAAAACAGTAATGTCACAAAGCTCCTCCAGATATATTTTCTGATTTTGACAAGTTCTTATTAAGGTATACTAGTAAAAATGTGATGTTGAAGTTATATGATAAATGCTCTTTATTAAAAGTATGAGGCATTACTTTATGAGCATTCATATGTGTATATGTTCCCAAGCACATTGAATAACTTAAGGCAGAAACTTGAAGCAGAATGTGGAGACATTAGTAGTTAATAGCTGTGCTAGAATTGATAGATTTAAACTAGACAGCTTGGGGCTGGAGAGATTACTCAGTAGTTAAGGGACTGGCTGCTCTTCCAGAGGTCCTGAGTTTAATTCCAAGTTACCACATGGTACCTCACACAACCATCTATTGTGAGATCTGATGCTTTCTTCTAGTATGCAGGTATACATACAGACAGAACACTCATATACATAAAATAAGTAAATAACTTGAAAAGAAACTGAGAAGGCTTAATTAAAATTAATACTAATTAAAGTATACAGACCAAGGATTCAAGCTACCTACTAAAAATCCTCCGTCCCCCAATGGAGTGAGATACTTGTACTCAGTTAGTTTTTGTTTTTGTAAACTGCATTAGCAGTATGTGCTATAAGGACTAATATATACTGAATTCCTTCCTTCCTTCCTTCCTTCCTTCCTTCCTTCCTTCCTTCCTTCCTTCCTTCCTTCCATCCCTCCTTCCTTCCTTCCTATCCTTCTTTCTTTCTTTTGTTCGTTTGTTCATTTGTTCGTTCTTTTGTTTCTTCAGATAGTTTCTCTGTGTAGCCCTGGCTATCCTGGAACTCCTGTAGACCAGGCTGGCCTCAAACTCAGAGATCCGCCTGCCTCTGCCTGCCAAGTGCTGGGATTAAAGGTGTGCACCACAACCACCCAGCAATGCTGTCTTCTTAAATTAGTGCCTAGCACATGACAGGTACTCAGTAAATGTTGGCTCTTACTGATAATTTCTAAAAGTTAGAAAGATAGACTACAAGAATAAAATCTAAAGAATAACAGTTGATCAAAATCTTAATAAGGAGAAAGTAACTTTAATTCTAGTGCCTAAACTATACTTTATATCTGGGTTTTTCACTTTATTTGTATCAGTTGATTTCATCCTATCAGCAAGTATTTCTTGAACCCTTGCTTTAAATACTGGGCGTGTACTTAACGTACAGAGTTTTTTTCTTTACAGGAAGACCAAGCTTGTGCAACTTGCCTTATTCTTGCTTGTTCCACTGCTGCCTGTGATAGAGAAGTGTCTGCTTGGGCTACACGGGCATTCTTTAGGTATGTCGGGTGAGAAAGAGAGAGTGTATGTGTGTTTATGTACTGAGCCACTTTTTTGTTGAGTATTTTGAGCTCTGAACATAGGGGGTTTTGCACAAACTGTACAAGTACTAAGGACTCAACAACAGAGCTACATCCTTAGTCCACAAAAATGGCCACCAAATATCCTTAAACACTGTAAAATACTTATATAAGGAAGACCTGTTTTTTGGTTGGTTGGTTGGTTGGTTGGTTGGTTGGTTGGTTGGTTGGTTGGTTGGTTGGTTGGTGGTTGTAGAAATTGAACCTGATTAGACTGGTTAGCATAGTGCATACATTACTGTTGTCTTCGTTTTTTTCTGTCTTGTTTTGCACTTTTCACCATAGTTACTTTCCTCCATCTTTTTTACTTTCTCAAACCCTGCCAGTTCTGTAGCCGGTATATTGAGGGATTCTGAGTCACAGTAAAGAAATTTGGTATCAAAGATTCTTTTTAAAGATTTTTTTTCATTGCTTACTAGTGCCCCAGCCTTCAGAGATTTCTTTTTATAAAATATTTAGCCAAGAATTTCAAGAATGCATATGCTATATAATCTTTATATTTGTTGGGCCTGGAAAGATGTCTGAGCACAGGCTTCCCATTTAGAGGACTCATATTCAATTTCCAGCACCTACGTGGCAGCTGACAACTGTCTGTCACTCTACTTTGAAGGGATTGGACATCGTTTTGTGGCTTTTATTATGTAAAAGGTGCACAAACATACATTCAGGCAATACACCATACACATAAAGATAAATAAATCTTTAATATTTTTTTTAATTAAGGGCTAATAATTCTATGAGAGCTACTGTGTCATTTCTATATTAAGGAAACTTTGTTACACATCCTATTTTTACACATTAGTAGAGTCTCTTCTAATTTCCTCGTAGCAATTTAAAATCAACATTTATTGAAGAATTATGCTAGGTATAAATTTCACCGTAAACACCATACATTAACATCTCTACCAATTATACAAAAGCTAAACAGAAGTAGGAATTGTCCCAGCTTTTACAAGACTCACAGTTTAATTGAACTCCTATTTGATCACATAAAAAGGTATGGTGGTGAAGCACAGATGAGATTTCCGGCTACTCTTCCCACTCCAAGTAATGTTGGTCCGATCCTGGGGTCTCCTATGTATTCTAGTGAGTATGAGACTTTGAACTTGGTTTTCATTAGAAATGATGTTGTATTAGCACTTCCTCATTCCTAGTGAATGAGTCTTACCTAAAGACTCATTAGACAGTGAGTCTTTAGATAGTGACTCTTGAATGTTTGTTTATAGGTAGTTTTATGGTTTGGTGTTTTGGTTTTTATGTTTTGAGATAAAGTCCTCCTGTGTCCCCTTGGTTGTACTGGAGCTTGCTACAGACCAAGCTGGCTTTAAATTCAAAGATCTCCTTTCCTCAGTCTCCCAGGTGCTGGGATTAAAGGTGTGTGCTGCTGCCATACCTGCAATATTGAATACTGAGAAGCAAAATAGTATGCAACAAATATTATTTACAGAGCTCATTTAGTATTCAAAGGGAAAGAGAGTTCTATAACAGGAAAGATGAATAATAATAATGAGCAAGTCCTTATTCATGTCTTCCAAATGGAAAAATGTCTACTGACTAGTTGAAAATAAAATGCATCGCCAGGCATGGTGGTGTCCCCCTGTAATCCCAGTACTCAGGGAGGCAGAGGCAGGTAGGCCTGATCTCTAAAGCGAGTCCAGGACAGCCAAAGCTACATAGAGAAAAGAAAAAGTACAATGTGTGTCTGACTCTTGAATATGGGAGGTAGTGTCATTCCTCAATCACACTGATAAGTTACATCTTTATAGAATCTTGATCAAATTCAAAGCCAATGGGAAGGTATTTTACAAATCTGTATTCTCTTTTCCTTTGCAGGTTCTCCTGTCGCTAGTGGAAGTTCCTATCCAAATCCATCTTTTGGGACACCCTCCCATGGTACCTGTGTTTTGACTTTTTACTTCTGTTCGTTTTTAAGAATTAACATTAAGTATTGGTTCTCATATTTAATGTTGAAAAATCTAACTTGCCCAATCCCTTAAAAAAAGAAAGTCAAGAGGTTGAGGAGATAATTCAGGTGGGAAAAGGCTTCACAAACCATGAAGACATGAGTTTGGTCCTCACGATCCATATAAAACAACAGAGAAAACATGTCTAAGTCTTATACTTTTTATCAAACAAAACCAAATGTGTATCTGTTCTTCCATTATTTTTAAATTTTTCCCTTTATTAGTCTAAATACAACAAATCGATTGTTGAAATTTCTAACCATTTACGATTTCTTTTTTAACTAGTTTCATTAATTTGAATGAAATGCATACAATGTGTTTGAGCATATTTACCCCAACTCCTTCCAGAACTACTGCCCCAAATACGTACTGCTTCTCAACCTTATGCCCTTTTTTTTTTTTAAATTGCCCACTGAGTCGATTTCTGCTGTCCATATACTAAGGTCATGAGGCCATACACTGGAGCAATCTAGGACCACAGCAACCCTTAAAGCCCAGAAGCTTGCAACTGTTGATAGCTCCTCAGCTACAAGGGTAGAGGCTTGTGAGTCCCTCCCTCCCCCATCTTAGTGCTGGAATGTTAACTGGTTCAGTTTTGCATAATCAGTCATGCTTTGAGTTCATGAGTGCAGCACCCTGCAATGTCCGGAGGACACTCGCTCTCTCTGCCTGGTCCTCTTGGACTTCTGTTCTTGCAGTCTTTCCATGTCCTCTCCCGTGATAGTCCCTGTGCCTTCTGTTGGTGGGTTCCGGGTGGGCTGTGACTAAAGCCTCCCCGTATGCTCATTCTCTCATTTTCAACCTCCTGAGTGTTTCTTTGTTAGCCACAATCTGTGCCACAAAGGAACTTGTCTGATGAGATCTGAGAGCTATGCTGATCCTTGGGTATAGAGATGTGAACTTAGAAGGCTGTTTGATATTGTAGTAGGTTGGCGCTCCTGAGCCTTAGGGGTGAACCTAGGATGGACTTCTGAGAGACTTTTTCTTACATGTGTACAGGTGCTCAGCCCCCTGCCATGTCAACCCCAATGTATGCTGTTGGAAACCCACCGATGCAGGCTGCAAGTATGAGTGGTTTGACTGGACCAGAGATTGTGTACTCAGGAAAACACAATGGTATTTGCATTTACTTTTCTCGAATCATGGGGTAAGTATTTTGTAAACTACTTAACCACTGTTGGCTTTGTCCTATTTGCAGTAGTGAAATATTCCTAAATCTGTATTTGGGACACTTCTTGCTGAATTTTACTTTTAGTTTTAAGCTCATCCATTGATAAGACTTTTTGCATTGTTCAGCCCTTTAACTGTATTCAGAGTTTTATTTCATGCATATGCAATCAGATGACAGTAGAAAGAGTTTTATTTATCTCAGCTGGATTGCATCAAGGCCCATTAATCTACTGGTGTGACATGGTCTCATCCTTCATTACACCAGCCTTGCTGGTGGCAGGGTTGAATGAGAAGGTTGAAACTTGCAAAGCCTCTCAGTGTCTCTCAGTCACTCACAGCAATGCCATTCTTGGTCCTACCTTATTTAGCCAGCTTTGATTCAAAAAATGGGGAGGAGCCTTCTTCCCCATAATGGACTGGTATAGAAGCCATCGAAGAGGAAATGGGTAGGATAGATAACCATAATCTTCTCATGCTGTCTAATTAGCTGCCGTACCTCCCTCTACTGATTTAGAGTTGAGATAAATGCTTTTATTAAGGCTTATGTGTGTGGGTGCACATGTATATTTTATGATTTTTTAAAATTCTGTGTGTATCAACATTTCTCCTGAATATGTATGTGCACTGCATGTTTGTATATGTACTGCATGTATGCCCAGTGCCAAAGGAGGCCAAAAGAGGGCACCACTTCCCCTGGAACTGAGTTACAGGACCCTTGTTAGCTGTGTATGGGTGCTTGGAGCTGAATCCAGACCCTCTGCAAGAGCAGTAAGTGCTCTTAACCCCGAGCTTTTTCTTTAGTGCTCTTCATTTTTTGGAGTAATATGGATGTTATGTTTGGAAACTTCCCAGTTTCTCCATTTTCTTCTAAAAGCTGTACTTATTAATGGTATGTGGATATAGTGAAAGGGGGACACATGCCACAGTGTGTACGTGGGTGTCAGAGGACACTTTTATGAAATCAGTTCTCTCCTTCTACCTTCATGTGTGTTCTGGGGATGCCTTCAGGTCACAAGGCTGGTACAAGTGTCTTTCTTGCTGAGTATCTTTCTAGCCCATTTTCAAGGAAACTTAAAAAATGTTAAATTAAGTCATTACTATGTTTGAAAACTGAGTAAAGCCTTTATGTTCCTACAGAAAGGTACCTACATGTTATAAAAGATTACATTCATTTACAGTACAATAATCAAAACCTTTTTGTTCCAGAAATATTTGGGATGCTAGCTTGGTTGTTGAAAGAGTATTCAAGAGTTCCACCAGGGAGATCACTGCAGTAAGTGTGCAACCTGGTGTCCTTGTTTTAAAGTTTTGAGTAAGATGCAGTGATTGTCTTATATAAATGTGTTCTCATCCAGTAGACTGTTCAGGTCTTGCCCTGATCACTTGCTGAGTAGTCTTCAGCATTTCATAGCCTGGTTCCCCCGTGTGAAATGGACACAATTGCCTGTCTCCTGAAGTTTGCTGTGAGGGTCAGAGCCAGCGCTCAGTCTCACCACTGTGCTCTCACTTGGACTTACTCACACTCACGATACTCACAGGGTCAGCCGCATTGGTGTGAGTTCACATCCATCACAGACTGCTTTAAACAAACACTTCAGAGCTTTGTTGTCACACATCAGGTAGAAATTTTTTTGTTGTTGTTTTAAGCACTTTTTAAAATGGTAAAGTATCAGGTATTTTTTTGTTTTTCTTTCCTTTACTATTCTTTGTTTTATTGGCTGTTCTGTTTTTCTGTCTGTTGTTTGGTTTTTGCTTTTTCAAGACAGAGTTTCTCTGTGTAATAGCTCTGGCTGTCCTGGACTAACTTTGTAGCTTCGTAGACCAAGCTGTCCTCAAGCTTACAGAGATTCGCTTGTCTCTGCCTCCCAAGTGGTGGGATTAAAGGTGGGTTCCACCATGCCTGCCTTTTTTTAAAGATGTGTTTATTCTGTATACAATGTTGTGTCTGCATGTACAGCTGCACTCAGCATGCTAGAAGAGGACAGCAGATCTCATTACAGATGGATGGGGGTCACCGTGTGGTGCTGGGGATGGAACTCAGGACCTCTGCAGAGCAGCCAGTGCCTTAACACCTAAGCCATCTCTCCAGCCCTGTTTTTGTTTCCTAAGACAGATCTTGCTATATATTTCAAGCTGCCTTTGATCTTGTAATCTTTTTTCCACAACCTCCAACTAACTAGATTATACATGTGCACTGATATATACACAGCCCAACCCAAACTGATGGTTTTTTAGAGTTCACATTTCTAATAAGAACACATTTCATCTGACATGGTATGTGTATGCCATGAATGAGCTAAATTAAACTATGCCGGTAGTTAAAGAAAAGTTTCATTGGAGATGGGATTTCAGCAGATAAGGACATGAGGATGTAGGTGTTATTACTCTGCTGTTACTGTAAATGATGACCATGAAAATGTGGGAAATAATTAATTAAGATGTTCACTTAATATTTGTATCTTACTGCACACAAATTATATCTTAATTGTAAAAAGAACAGGAGGGCTGTGATAGGCCCTTTATTTTGGCTAATTGGATGTTGAATGGACTTAAGAAAAAGCTTTACATATTATTCATAAAGAGAGCATAGCTCATAACTAAAATTGTATATATTCAATACTGACTCTAAGTACTCTTTTATACATACACTTTTTTCTGTGTCTTTAAACTTTTGAACACTCTCACTCTTACAGATTGAAAGCAGTGTGCCCAGCCAGCTGCTAGAGTCAGTACTGCAGGAGCTAAAGGGTTTGCAGGAATTTCTGGACAGGAATTCCCAGTTTTCAGGAGGACCACTAGGAAATCCAAAGTAAGAACTAGATTTATTTATTTACTTACTTTTTTTTCCTGTGTGAAAGATGTTTTTTTTTCTATCTTTGAGGTACTGGGATAAAAGCCAGGATCTTGAGCATTATACCTGGTAAGGAAGTGCTCTACAACGGAACTGCAGGCCTAGCTATTCGGTTTTTTCTTCTTTTGTATCTTGTTGAAACATTGGACCTATATCATAAAGTTTTGTTTTTTAGACATTCGTTTGTGTTTTGCCTGCATGTCTATGGAAGGCTGTTACAACCTTAGAACTGCCATTACAGACAAGCCTGAGCTGCCATGTGGGTGCTGGGAATCAAACCAGAGTCTTCTGGAAGAGCAACCACTGTTCCTAACTGCGAAGCTTCTCTCTGGCCCCCAGTTGTAATTTTTTTAACACAGGATCTCACCATGTATTCTTGGCTGTCCTGGAACTCACCTCGTAGACCAGGCTGGCCTCAACGGCACAGGTTTTCCTGCTTCTGTCTATTAAACAGTACTTTTCTGTAGATTCTAGTGTATTCACAAGGTTATGCATCATCGCCGTTACCTAATCCTGGGACACTTTCCTTGTGCCACTACCAGTCCCTCTCCATTCACTCTCTCACGGTTCCTGCAGCCATAGTGGATTTTCCATCACAATGTTAGGAAAGAACTTACATTTCTGTTTTATTATCTCCTTTTTTTAAGAGATAATAGTTTTTCTATTTTTTTATATTACATTTATTTGGAGCTGTATGGGTAGGAAGGGTGTGTGCCATGCCATCTGTGTAGAGGTCAGAGTACAGGTTGCCAAAATTGGTTCTCTCCTTCCACCATGTGGTTCTAAGGATCTAACTCTGGTCCTCAGGCTTGGCACAAAAACTGTTACCTACTAAGCTAGCTCACCTGCCCAAATGTATTATTTTAAACAGCATCCACTTCATCTCCTGATGCTTTTCTTCCAAGCATGCTTGACATCTTTTCCATCTTCATGATGACTAGCACTTGAAACATGATTTCACAATTCTTTGAATAAACTCTTGAATTACATTAATTAGACTCAACACTAGTGGTATTCATAACTTTCTGATGGTTATAAAAAAAACAGAAAAAAAAATTGACAACCTGACACTGAATTATGCCAAGGTTTTGATAAACTTGTTTTAAGATGTTAAAAAATGTTTAAAAGACTGGTGAAGTGTTTAGGGTCTTAGGTGTTTGTTGTGATTCGTAGTTGTGTTTGTTATTTTCAGTGAACTTCTGTCACACTGCAGCTTATAGAAAGGGTGTTATTGCTACTGTATTGGCATAGGCAGTGACTTGTGCTTCCACTGTAGCATTTAAGAAAGTTTTCTCCGCCAGCAATATTTTCAGTTAATGCTTCAAAAATAGTAATGTGCTTAAACCTCCTGAATGTAAGATTGACTTTCAAGGCCCTGTAGCTTTAGGAATTGCCAGTTTTTCATTTCGGTGCTACTTCATGGACTGTGTACATTCTTGTTACAGGAAAACAAAAGTTAAACTTCAATAAAAAAGAAAGAAAGAAAGAAAGACTTGTCCACCTTAAACACCTATGTTTTCTGGTGTCTGATCTAAACCTCAGGAAAGCAGTCACAGACACACTGTAATTTCTGTTTCAGTGCTACTGCAAAAGTGCAGCAGAGGCTGGTGGGATTCATGCGTCCCGAGAATGGAAACACCCAGCAAATGCAACAGGAACTGCAGAGGAAGTTTCATGGTGAATAATTTCTAGTGACCAGTTACACATTCGTGACCCCACCAAAGAGTTGTATGACCTGAACAGGGAGCAGTGAACTTCCTTTCTCTGTTATCATTATTAAGGTGCCAATTTTTTGTGATTGAGAAAATAGAACAGCATGGAAATTGTTTTTTACCACACTTCCTTCAGCCAAAAAATATTTGCCCTTTTGCTACCAGAAAGCATGATATACTCTATTTGATGAATTCTTTTCTTCATCGTAGTGAAATCTATGTACCTTAAAGTTGACCGTTTTAGTGACTTTTTATTATTATTATTTAAGTTTTTTGTCAGCTTCAGTATATGCATTGTGTTTACTCTCTTCCTCCATCCTTCTTAAATCCCTTCCACTCCAGTCTCACCTCCCTATACACCCCATTCCTTTTCCAGCTTCATGACTGAGATTTGACCTTTTTAGTTTAATCGGGGCAATCTAGGTGACCATTCGATTTGGGACAGTCCATTGAACCTGGTGGGGTCACCAGTGGGAGCACATGTGAGGAATTGATTCCCTAGGGATGAATCCAGAGATGGGAATCAATTCCTCACTTTTTCATTATTCCATAGTGAGGCTTGGTATAACCATGAGGCAGTAACTGCCTATTTTCCTTATCCTAAGCTCATGGCACCTATCAGTCTGCTTTCATTTTCTGTCCATTTGACTACTCTGGGTATTGGTATAAGCAGTTGTCTTCATTTTATTACTGGTTTATTTCACTTACCATATTATTCTTCACATTCTTCCATACTGTAGCATGTGTTAGAATTTCCGGTCAAAAATTGAATAACGCTTTATACACATACACACAAAATATGTTTATTCATCTTTTTTACATAATCTATATTTTTAAAATATAAGGCAAATTATCATGACTGATTTTATTTAATAATGTACTAGTTTATATTAATGCATGGTTTGAAAAATTTAGTCCTGAGAAACTTGATGGTGCTTTTCAGAAAGCCTTCTAGGTTATTGTTGTTTTAGTGGCACTGGGTTGGAAGCATAAGACAAACACACCATACTTTCTTTTTCATATATGCATATGCAAATGTTTTTTTCTGTATACATGCAAATGTATTTCATGAAGAGGAAAACATGAATGTGCTAGTCATTGTTGCCTAGAGAAGAGGCAAGAAGAAACAGGAATTTCACTCTTTGCTATTTGACATAAGAAAACAGTTACATAATTGTATTTCATCATTAGAGGCTCAACTGAGTGAGAAGATTTCACTTCAAGCAATCCAGCAGCTGGTTAGAAAATCGTATCAGGCTCTGGCTTTGTGGAAACTCCTTTGTGAACATCAGTTTACTGTCATTGTGGGAGAACTTCAAAAGGTGAGCTGACTTACTCAATTTTATGTGCATGTGTGTCTGTGTGGGGGCATCAGATCCCCTGGAACTGGAATTACAGACAGTTGTGAGTATCCATGTGGGTGCTATGAATTGAATCTGGGTCTTCTGGAAGAGCTGCCAGTGCTGTTAACTGCTGAGCCATTTCTCCAGCCCCAGGTGAGGTGATTTTTGTCCTTTGGGGTTGTTTGATCCCCAAAATGCTTAAGTCTTGAATTTTCTTCCTATTTTTAAGCTTATGTGCACCCTGTGTAGTGGCACGCGCCTTTGATGGCAGATTTGGGTGGAGTATGAGACAAGTGGTTCTCTGTGAGCTGAAGGCCAGCGTGGTATACATAGCGAATGAATTCCACGACAGCCAGGGCTTCTTAGAGAACACTCCATCTCAAAAGAAAAAAACTGATGCGCACACACACACACACACACACACACACGTTTTGCCTGTATGTATATAAGAGCACCTCGTGCCTACCTCGTGCTTCCCAAAGAAGGCATCGGATCCTCTGGAACTGAAGTTACAGATGGTCGTGAGCTTCCGTGTGGGTGTTAGAAATTGAACCTGGGTCCTTTGTACGAGTCAGTGCTCCTGACCACTGAGCTGCCTCTCCAGTCCCCTGAAGTCTTGGCTTTAAGCAACATTTCAGAGTGACAAAGTGCTCCCCAGTGGTCGTTACTAGTGGCCAGAGTGGCGTGGCTGCTGGTGTTGGCAATTTTCTTACTTTTAAACTTAAGGAGGTTTTTTTTTTTCCCCTTTTTAAAATTTTATATATTTAGTTAATGAAAACCATTTTATTTTCTATGCCAGGTAGTATGTTTTTATTTTTATTTTTTATTTATTTATTTATTTGGATTATGAGCTTAGGGTGGGTATATTTTTAGCCTCGCTATCATTTATGATCTATTTTGAAAGCCTTCTTTCCTTCTATTACCAGTTATATGCTCAAGGAATACAAAGTAGTATTTGACTCAAAACTTTAAATATTTTGTAGATACTTATGTTGAAATATATCATGGGGGCTAGAGAGATGGCTCAGAGGTTAAGAGCATTGGCTGTTCTTCGAGAGGTCCTGAGTTCAATTCCCAGCAACTGTCTGGTGGGTCACACCATCTATGATGATATCTGGTGCCCTCTTCTAGCATGCAGGTGCACCTGCAGACAGAAATAAATCTTTTTTAGAAAGGAAAGTACATCACTATAAAAATACTTACTAGACTATAAAGTCTTTACCCTTTAGAACTCCATCTCAGCAAGCAAATTTGTTCAAAATGCAGGTCAAATTCAAGCATCTAATGTTAGAATTTTAACATTATTTAGAAAAAAAAATAAAAGCATCAGAATCTTTTGTTTAGTTTGATTTTTGTTTTGTTTTGTGTATTTATTTATTTATAGACTGGATCTCATTATATCGCTGTCCTGGAACTCACTTTATACTCCAGACTAGCTTCCAATTCAAGAAGATCTGCCTGCCTCTTCCTCAAGTGCTAAGATTAAGGCGTGAGTTCCAGCCAGATTTTTTTTTTTTTTTTAATGTAACCCAGTGATTGATTTTTGCCAACTGCTGAAAGCAAAGTGGGCTGGTACTAGTGTTGATTCTGCCTTGACTCAGCTTTCTCATATAGAAAGTCAGATTAGACCTTTTACCTCCAACTTTATGATTTTATTGCAGCTTTCTTGCAGAGCTGTGTGTCAATGATTTGGTGTTTTCCTTGTCAGTGCTAAGAATCAGACCAGGGACTTACTGCTGCTCCACACACTCAACCCTAGTTTATCATTTAAATTAGAGTCTAATGGTGGAGGCTTTTGTTACTATAATTTTCAGCAAGGGAGCTCAATGCCTTTAACCCTGACATTTGGGTGGTCCAGGCAGGCAGATCTGTATTCATGGCCAGTTAGTGCTACCTAGTGAAACCCTGGCTCCTACCCCAAAAAAGAGGAGGAAATTCCACTTTGTGAGGAAATAAAGTATTCTATGATTTTGATGAAAGGCTTTCCCTCTTTCTAGGAATTCCAAGAGCAGCTGAAGATCACCACCTTTAAGGATCTGGTTATCAGAGATAAAGAGCTCACGGGAGCATTAATTGCTTCTCTTATCAACTGCTACATCAGAGACAATGCTGCTGTAGATGGTATTAGCTTACATCTTCAGGACATCTGCCCACTTTTGTACAGCACAGATGATGCAGTTTGTTCTAAGGTATGGTGCCTCACTGCCTCTTTAGTGTTTTTATGTGGGTTTCATAGTGGGATGGATGGGGATGGAGAACTCATGGGTTTTCAATATATGGTCTCAGGACATTCTCCTAATATGTTCCAGTCTCAACTAAAAGGGAGGTTGAAATACATAGTGTCTTAAAAATATGTGGATACTCTTTTAAATGTTACATATAGAAAAATCTCTGACAGCATTTTCAGGCCATGTTTTAAAAGACAAAGGTTATAGGACTGGACAGATGGCTCAGTGGTTAAGAGCACTGACTGCTTTTCCAGAGGACCCAGGCTCAATTCTCAGCACACAGATGGCAGTTCATTACTGTCTATAAAACCAGTCCCAGGAGATCTGATACCCTGTCCTGACATCTGAGGGCATCAGGAACATGTGATCTACACAGACATACATGCAAGTAAAACACCCCATACACAAATTTTAAAAAGACAAAGGTCAGCAATTAAGGAGAATCAATTAATTTAGAAATTAAGAAATTTTATTAACTAAGGAGTTTGTTTGCTTTCTTAGAACATAAGGAAAAATCACTAAGACTTTAAGTAAATCTGGAATGAATCAAAGTTAATGAGGCAATTCTTATTGATCCTTTCCTACAGGTGAAAAAAAAAAAAAGTGTCATTGATGAAGTACCTGCTGACCAATAATGTATTGACTAGGCAAGAGCACCCCAGACAAGGCTGTCTGATTTAACATACTTGACAGAGGAATTAAGACTAGCTAGGATTTTTTTTGGTCAAAAACTTTTCTGCCTAAAATTAAGAAGTAAGTTTGTAGACTTTTTATTTATAATGATAAAAGCCACATGTAAATTTAGACAGACTAAAACATATGTGGACAGCAGCATATGCCTGCTTGATTTTGTGTCTTAAACTTTTCTCATCTCTTTAGGCAAATGAGCTTCTTCAACGTTCCCGACAAGTTCAAAGTAAGAGTGAAAAAGAAAGAATGTTAAGGGAGTCACTGAAGGAATATCAAAAAATCAGCAACCAAGTAGACCTTCCCAGTGTTTGTGCTCAGTATAGGCAAGGTGAGAAGCAAATTGTTACGTCTTTTTTCTTGCCTCAGAGGACAAAGGGCCATGTATGAATACATGTGATGAGAATCTCTTCTAGAAGCAGATCTTCTAGCATCTGTGGCCAGAGTGATAGTTTGAATTGTATAGCTTTTTTCTTTTCACACCGGAGAACAAACACAGGTGAGGCAAGTGCTTATTTATTTAAGATAATCATATGTGTAGCTCAGCCTGGCCTTGATAATCTTACGTGTAACTGTAGCTAGCAAAGGATAGCCTTGAGCTTCTGATCTTTCTGCCTCCTCCTCCGAAGCCTGGGATTATACACATGTTCCTCTGTTTCTTTATATAACTTTTGGGGAGGCGCCCTGGGGGAGTTTAAGTTTTTGCTACATTATACTACTGAGTTACACCTGCTTTTAAAATGTCTAAAACTTGTGACTAATTTTAAAAGTAAAAACTGTAATTGTTAGCACAGATTTTGTTTGGTTTGGTACTTGATTTTGGGGTTTTTGGTTTTTAAAGACAGTTTCTACACTGTTTCTCTGTGTAGCCTGGCTGTGTTGGATTTGCTTTGTAGAACATGCTGGCCTCCAACTCACAGAGATCCCATGCACCACCAATCCCAGCTGTTAGCACAGATTTGAATCACACTTTTTTTTTTTTTTCCTCTGAAATGTCTTTCTGTTGTTTTGTTTTTGTAAAGGTTATTTTCTGGAGGGTATCCATTAGTATCTGCCTTCCAGCCATATTAGACCTCTTTTTTCATAATTACATACATCAGAAATATTTTGCAGTGCTGTCAACAGAATAACAAAGGCTTAATAGAAAGGCAACGTTCTTTCATGCATTTGCAGCATAAGAGTCACCTCTAAGCACTTGGTCTTTGTCTTTCCTACTAGTGCGCTTTTATGAAGGTGTGGTGGAACTTTCTCTTACTGCTGCCGAAAAAAAAGATCCTCAGGGTCTTGGCCTTCATTTCTATAAACATGGAGAACCAGAAGAGGATGTAGTTGGTCTTCAGACTTTCCAAGAGAGGTGAGTCTTTGACCCTTAGCTGATTGCCAGGCTTTTAGATTCAGACTTTTTTTTTTTTTTTTTTTTTTTAATTATGCTCAAGACCTTTAATTAATATTAATTCCTGAATCTGGGTTATCATTCACAGTCTAGAGATAAGATTTTAGTGTTATAAGTGTTCTGTGTGTTTATGCATGTGATACCTCATATGTACCTGTTTGTTGTCATTCTCCAAGTGGCTTCATTACAGGAGGTCTTACTTGCTGGCAGCCAGCACGTCCAAGCAGCCCTTGGTTCCACACAGTGCTGGAGCTACTAGCATGGACATGGATTGCCACCCCTCTTCTCTGCATGGGTTCTGGGAAAGTGCCCTCAGGGCCTCATGCTTGCAGTACAACCGCTTCCTCATCTGCTGAGCCGCCATCTCAGTGCTGATACTGTTTTTGTTGGTTTTTACTTTATTTTACTTTCTTATTTACTTACTTTATTTATTCATTCATTCATTCATTTTAAAGATGGTCTCACTGGTTAATCTGGAAATCTGTGTAAACTAATCGCCCTCAAACTCAGTGATCAGTTTCTCACCTCCTCCCAGGTACTGGGATTAAAGGCATGCATCACCACACCTGTCCCTTATAAACAGTTTTGGACCTGTAACTGTGAGATTTTCTTCCTTTTGTTTATTTCTTTTTTTTTACTTACTACATTTTTTGAGATCTCCAATTTGAGAACAAAACTGGCTCCCTTCCCTCCACCCCCAATTTCCATTTTTACTTGAAAATAAGGTTTGTTTTTTGTTTGTTTGTCTGTTTTTTAAAGGGAAATCTTAAATGCTTACCAATTTATAGAGACATAAAGAAAAATATGCTAATTTTAAATTTTGTTGTTTGTGTTTTACCCTTCTACATTTAACCAGATGTTTTCAAATCTTTTGAAAAATGTATTGGATTTTTTGAGGGATAGCCAGAGGATATAGGGTACTATGATTTGGTTTTGGGATCTTTTAAATTTTATCATCATTATTATTTTATGTGTATGGAGACACACACACACGCGCGCGTGTACAGAAGGCACCAGATCCCAGTATAGATGGTTGTGAGCCAACATGTGGTTGCTGGGAATTGAACTCAGGACCTCTGGAAGATCAGACAGTGCTCTTAACTGCTGAGCCACCTCTCAGCCCCCATGTTGTAGGTGTTTTACCTGCATGTACATGCATCATTTTTGTCCCTGATATCTTCTGGACTGCCATGTGCTGGGAATTGAACTCTAGTCCTCTGGAAGTGTGGCCAGGTTCTTAGTCACTGAGTCATCTCTCCAACCCCTAGTTTTGAGCAAAACTTCACTCTTAGTCCCGCCACAGCGGCTGCATGTTGGATGTAGATCCAGTGTTGTCATAGCTGTCTTGTCTTCGTGATCCGCTGTTTGAGACAAGGTCTTAATATGTCCTGGCCTGATCTCATATGAGAAAAATACTTTCTTAAGTAATTTAATTGCCTTTTCCTTTTTCAGATTAAACAGTTACAAGTGTATCACAGACACCCTTCAAGAACTGGTAAATCAAAGTAAGGCTGCTCCTCAGTCTCCTAGTGTACCCAAAAAACCTGGTCCTCCGGTGTTGTCATCAGATCCCAACATGCTGAGCAATGAAGAAGCAGGACATCACGTAAGGGACTGGCATGTTTATTCTGGAAGTGGTAGTGGTGGCATAATCACTGGGAATGGAAGCTGCTCCTACATGTTCCTGCTGAACTGGTTTTCTTGCCAGAAGGTCATTGGTGGGGTATTAGGTCCAGCAAGAAAGCCTTTTGCCCTGCTAATTTCACTATTTTGTTTATTTTAGTTTGAACAAATGCTTAGATTGGCTCAGCGGTCCAAGGATGAGCTCTTTAGTATTGCTCTTTATAATTGGCTGATACAAGCTGACCTTGCAGATAAACTACTACAGGTAAAAATATTGTTTGCACAATATGGTTCGTTTTTATTTATTTATTTTAGTGGTTTTTTTTTTTTTAATTACAATTTATTCACTTTGTATCCCAGCTGTACTCCCCTCCCAATCCTGTCCTCCCTCCCTCTTCTCCTCCCATGTCCCTCCTTTAGTGCACTGATAGGGGAGGTTCTCCTCCCCTTCCATCTGACCCTAGCCTATCAGGTCTCATCAGGACTGGCTGCATTGTCTTCCTCTGTTGTCTTGTAAGGCTGCCTCCCTACTTCCCGAGTCCCCCATTCTCACCCCTCCATCCCCACTCAGGGTGAGGTCATCAAAGAGCCCACCACTAAGTTCATGTCAGAGACAGCCCCTGTTCCCCTTACTAGGGAACCCACTTGGAGACTGAGCTGCCAAGAGCTGAATCCGTGCAGGGGTTCTAGGTTATCTCCATGCATGGTCCTTGGTTGGAGTATCAGTCTCAGAAAAGACCTCTGAGCTCCTTGTGGAGCTCTTGTCCCCTCCAGGTCTTCCTATCTCTCCCTTCTTTCATAATATTCCCTGCACTCTGCCCAAAGTTTGGCTATGAGTCTCAGCATGTGCTTTGATACCCTGATGGGTAGAGTCTTTCAGCAGCTTCCTGTGGTAGCTCTTGTCTTAGTCGCTGTTTCTCCCTCTTCTGATGTCTAGACAGGATAGTTTGTCTTTCTGAATGAGGATTGAACAGCTTACCTAGGGTCCTTCTTGCTTACTTTCTTTAGGTATAGATTTTACTCCTGTACTATATGTCTAATATCCACTTATAGGTGAGTATAGACAGTATGTATCTTTCTGCTTCTGGGATACCTCACTCAGGATGATCTTTTCTAGTTCCATCCATTTGTCTGCAAATTTCATGATTTCCTTGTTTTTAATTGCTGAATAGTATTCCATTGTGTAAATGTACCACAATTTCCATATACATTCCTCAGCTAAGGGACATCTCAATTTCATATAGAAAAATAAAAAACCCAGAATTGCTAAAACAATCCTGTACAACAGCAGATCATCTGGAGGTATCTTCATCTCTGATCTCAAGCTATACTACAGAGCAATAGTAATAAAAAGTGCATGGTACTGGCATAGAAACAGAATGATGGATCAGTGGAATCAAATAGAAGACCCAGAAATAAATCCACACGCCTACAGACAAAGAAGCCAAAACAATGCAATGTTAATTTATTTCTAAGTTGTATAACAATAGTCTTTGTAGATATAGGAAATTAGTTTTTAAGTGTTAGCATTAAGCTAGGTATGTAATTGCTTTTTTTCACAAGCAAACAGACTGTTCCTTTAATGTTGTTTAGGAGCTGATTTGATAAGATCATTGTGGGGTAGAAGTCTCTGGATCAGTAATTAGGCTCTGCCATTTAGTCACTAGGTGACCTCAAAGATGTTATTTGAGTATCATTGTTCCTTGATTTATAAACCTAAGTCCTGGGGTTTGATAGTGCCAAGGGTGCGTTTTGAGCTAAGAGTCAGTAACTGTTTTTCAAAGTTCATTAAAAGAATTAGAATTTTACGGTGAATTGTTTTTCTGTTCATGTGTTACAGAAGGTTCTTCATTAATTAGTATAATGAAATCATTTTGTAATGAGAAAATCTTCTATTTTACGTATTGATGTTTTATTGTTTATTGATTCAGTTTTTCTTATTTTCAAAAAACAAGACACATGTGCATAAACACGTGTCTTGGTAGCACACACACACAAAATACAGTGTTTTCTACTTTAAAACACCTAGGTGATTCAAAAACGTTTCTGTGTGATTGCAATTTCTAGATTGCTTCTCCATTTCTGGAGCCACATTTAGTCCGAATGGCCAAAGTGGATCAAAACAGAGTTCGATATATGGATTTACTCTGGAGGTACTATGAGAAGAACAGAAGTTTCAGTAGTGCAGCTCGAGTCCTATCCAAGCTGGCCGACATGCACAGGTAAGGAAGGCAGAAACGAGTCTCCTCGTAAGGAGTAGCCCAGAGCTGCCTGTGTAGTTCTGTCCATGTGAACTGAGGTCGACCAGCCGAAGGACTCTGAGGGTAGGTAGCACATTGATGGAATGTGTACTTAGCGTACCCAGTCTCCAGTGACCCTCCCCTGAGGAAGAAAATCGAGAGTTGAGTTATGGCCAGCGGGAAGTGTGAGTCTCTGTGTCTGTGCAGGGTTCTGGGGTGGGGGACACTGACAATATAACTGTGTTTATTACAGATTCTACCCAAAGCTTATTGGCTTCCTTGTCCTTTATAATCACTCAATTCTAAAAGTTTCCCTCACATAATATAATATACAATGACCTTCTTAATTTTTGATATAATAAAAGACAAACGTTTTGTTGGTTGGGTTTTTTGTTTTGTTTTTTGAGACAAGGTTTCTCTGTAGCTCTGGCTGTCATAGAACTCCCTCTCTGTAGACCAGGCTGGCCTCGAACTCAGATTCACCTGCCTCTGCCTCCTGAATGCTGGAATTAAAGGCAGGTACTATCACTACCCTGCCTAAAAGGCAACTTTCTATAAAGGTCTTTGTTAACCTACTGCCTTCTGTTAGGAGTTCACAGTGCTGGGGATATGTCACAGTGGTAGGGTACTTTCCTAACTTATTCCAGGCTCTGCACTCCATGTCTACCACAACAGGGGCATGTAAGAGGAAGAATTTAAATCCACTGTAGCTGCGGGGTGTTTTTGTTTTTGTTTTTAATTTTATTTTATGTGCATTAGTGTGAAGGTGTCGGATACCTTGAACTGGAGTTATAGACAGTTGTCAGCTGCCATGTGGTGCTGGGAATTGAACCTGGGTCCTTTGGAAGAGCAGACAGTGTTTTTAACCACTGTACCATCTATCACTCTGTAGCTGCAGGCTTTAAGGTTATGTGATTAGTTTATGTTTGTTATGGATCATGGTAGAAGTACTTTTGTGTTGAACCCTAATCCAGGCCTTCTGTCTCTCATTTCAGTATTATTCTTAGCTGTCCTTATGCAGTCCTAGATACCATTAACATACCAATTACCTAAAATCATTTTATTTCATTTTGTTGCTTCAACAGAATCTCTTAATAGTCTAATCTCATTTCAGTATTATTCTTAGCTGTTCTTATGCAGTCCTAGATACCATTAACATACCAATTACCTAAAATAATTTTATTTCATTCTGTTGCTTCAACAGAATCTCTTAATTGTCTAATCTTTGTAAAAATTATTATATTCTTATACTTAGGCATTGTTTTTCAAGAGTATCTGTTTTTCACACCTGTAATTCCTCCTCATAGGAGATAACCTGTCTGTCCGCTTTTTTCAGCTCTCAGTCTTTTTCTACAATAAGAATATTTTTTCAAAGATTTATTTCATTTTTAATCAGTGTGTGTGTGTGAGAGAGAGAGAAAGAGTGAGTGAGTGTAAGCCTGTGTGCCCACGTACTGCTCTGCCCAGAGGCTGTGGAGAGAGGCATCAGCTCCTCTGGAACTGGAGTCGCATTTGTGAGCTTCCTGACATGAGAGAAGAAGTACTCTTATCTTCTTAACTCCTGAGCTATTTCTGTAGCCCAATATTTATTTACTTTTAAAATGTTTAGTTTTAATGGGGATGGAGGAGAAAAGGAAATCTCTTTTAATAACAGAACTCCTAAATGCACAGAGAAAACTACAAGGGATGAGCAATTTGCTAATCAACTGACAAACATGTCTCTACTTTGATAGAAGAGTGAGGAAAATACTTTATTTGCTCTCTTTTTGGAAGAGGAATAATATTAGAAACATAGCTATAGATCACTTATGTAAGGCTTTTTTTTTTTTTTTTTTTTTTTTTTTTTTTTTTTTTTTTGAGCTAGCCTCTAGCTCACAAAGGTCCACCTACCTCTGCCTCTCTCGAATTAAAGGTATGCACCACACCTGGCAAGTAAAGCCTTAAAGGAAGCAACCTTTTCTCTGATGCAGAATAGACTTAGGTTTACAAACTTTTTCCACTTTTTATTACATTCATTTACCTTTGTGTGTGGACACATACATGTTACACCTCGTGTGTGTTGGAAAGAGGACATTGGGATGTAGTCAGTTCTCTCTTAACACCCTGTGGGTCCCCTGAGTCAAACTTGAGTCGTGAGGCTTGGTGGAACTTGCCTGCATCTGTTGAATTATCTTGCCAGCACCCTGCAAAGGACACTTTAATACTGGTTGATCTGAGACATTCCCAATAAGTAAATCAACTTGTTTGTTTCTTTAAGACAGTTTCATGCATCTGGAGTTTCATTCTAGCTCTTAAATGATTTTAGGGTCTCAGCTGTTGAGGGGTTTGTTGAAGTAGTCTTAGGAGGCCATTGAATATGAATACCAGGACTCTATTGAGTCCCATTAAGGGAAGGTTGTTCTCTGGCCCTGGGTGGAATCATGCCATTCTGATCTGCTCCTAAGATTAAATATTATCAACTATGTGACAGTAAGTGTCCTCTCTGAATCAAATTGTGTGTCCATAAATCTAGCCCACATGAAAGCTAAGTCACCTGAAGACATGCTAGGACAGGGAGGAATAATAATCCCCTTAGTGAGATAATCCATTTTGTTAAATTCACCTGTTTCAGTTTCTTACTGCCTCTGTCTGCTAAACCTAGGCCTAGTTCTTGAAGCTTCTAGCCTCCATACACTCTAACTAGGCAAAGAATGTTTTCAGCCCTGAGATTTACTAATGAATAAGCTCACCCTTTCTTGTTTTTTAAACTTAGCTGGTAGCTGGCTGGTTCAACTCAGCTGTTCTGGCTCAAACTCCTCTCCCACCTAACTGATAGAATCTGGCTTTTTTTCCCTCGGCCTTTGAATTGCGATGCTTGGCCTCATACTAACTCCAGGAATCTTTTCTAATCTTATGGCTCTTCTCATTCTCTGGCTCCATTTGTCTTCCCCTATGTTTAGATTGTTCTCTTATTCAGCCTTTTTCTGCAAAACTCTCCCAGTAAAACTGCCTCCTCTTTCCACATTGCCCCTTAATAAGTAACTTCCCTTTCTTCTCTCTTCTCTCCTATTCTGTCAAATCTTTCTCTGATTCGTCACTGTTTCTGCCACTCAATTAAATATCATTTTCAAACATGAGTGCTTCCTTGTACAAACTAACTTTACCTTCATTGTTTGGGATTAAAGGCCTGTACCACCACACCTGGACCTAAGCTTTTCTTTACCTAAAACTTGCTCTATACCAGGCTGGCCTTGAACTCAGGTCTGTTTACCTCTCTCTCCTGTATTATTTGTATTCCAGCTGGAGCACACAGACCTAGAAGGTCTTCAGATGTGATCTCTTTCCAGATCTTCTGCCATGCTCTGAATTAAAATTCCTCTACACCACTTAACCTTGAAGAAGACCCCTCCCCCTTGGGACAGACACTTTTCTGAGCTAACTATTTTTCTTTCCAATTCTTTGGACTTTATCACTCTTCCTCTGGCTACCCTCTAGGTCACAGAGATCCACCTGCCTTTGCTCTGTTTCTCCTACTCCCCTCATGTGACTACTTAAACATAATAGTTTTTTCCTTTTATCTTCTTCATCTCTTCCCCCAGGCTGCTGCTAAAGTTTACAGCTTATCTGTCCTGTTTGTTATTTTTCTCTTAAACAATAAAATTGTCCTGAAGCTTTCTTTCTAATTCATTTTAAAATTATTTTACTAATGAAACGAAAAACATAAGAGGAGACCCCAGTTTTCTTCCCAAATAACATGCTTCTCAATGTGGGATACCTAGTGATTCCAGTAGCAGTACGATTTTGTTTTTGACACATGAGTATTTGTTATCTGAAGTTATGAACCAATTAGAAAGCTAAAGTAATTGGGCGGACATGACAGTGAATACCTGTAATTCCAGAATTTAGGAGGTGGAGGCAGGGTGAGTGATGCCTGTCTCAGGCCAGTCAGGGTCTGCATAGTGAGACCCTGTCTCAAATTTCAAAACCTAATAATTTTTTGCATTTCAAATAACCTTTTGTGTAGTATGTCTGACTTGATATACTTGAATCTTCACATCTTAAGAAACGGTAAAGCTAAAATTACAGATTTTTCCTTCCTAGCACAGAAATTTCACTTCAGCAGCGACTGGAATACATTGCTCGAGCCATTCTTAGTGCAAAAAGTTCTACTGCCATTTCATCCATAGCTGCAGATGGCGAGTTCCTGCATGAATTAGAAGAGAAGATGGAAGTAAGTACTAAATATTCAGGCTGTGTTGTGTGGAGTAGCTGCCACAGTTAGACTATGTCATCTTACCCATGACTCGGAGTTCTGCTGAAGTCATTATTGAGTCCAAACACTTCTGTTTATAAATGTTTATTTATTGTCATCTTTAGATGTAAAACTTAAGGAAACAATGTATGGGACATAGAGGCATAGTTTGAAATATTTTTCCATAGCTTATTCATAATTTTTGTTTTGTTTTCATTTTCTCAACTGATCAGCAGCAGTTGGATCACATGGCATCTGTCATTCATTCTGATGGCATCTATCATTCATTCACATGGCACTGCACTATTTTAACTTAGATTAAAAATCTTCTGGTTGTCTAAATGAAAGAGCTTATTTATCACAAAAAATAGTCAAATACTCTGTTGGCTTTCCTTCTTATGATCGCTTGAGGAATGCAGACTGTTTTCTGATTCCCAAGGCGGTTTGCTATAACTAGTGGAGGAAGAAAAGAAAAGCTTCACAAGACGCACATTTCCTCTCTGACAACCACAGCCTTGGCATCAAATGCTTGACTTCCTTTCTCGTTTCTGGAATGTTCTGTCATATGGCATTGGCAGCTAGAGGTGCAGTCTAGATCGCTGAGTTACAAATGGCAGTTACATTGGGCAGCAGTGTTTCCTGTGGCATCAGTTACATTGAGAGGACAGTCTCTTGCAATATAAGTGTGTATTAATAAACGGTCTTCATTTTAGCAAACTTAAACTTTTAGACTTATTTCTTCAGGTACCTGTAGAGTAGTATAAAAATACTAATACATCATATTTTGTTTAACCTAGGTTGCTAGGATCCAGCTTCAGATACAAGAGACACTTCAAAGGCAGTACTCCCATCATTCTTCAGTGCAGGATGCAATTTCTCAGCTGGATTCTGAGCTGATGGACATTACTAAGGTAATAAAAGCCAGTGAAATTCCTGAAATAGTCACCTTGCTTTTAGAGATGTGTGCGTGTGTATGATTTGCTTCATGGGAAAGTAAATAGAAAGTTCTCTTTGACAGCTTGTCACTGGACTGATAGGTTCTAGCTACTGCACATGACTTTTACTATGACTCCTAGAAAAAGCAGAGCAGTTCCTGCCAGATCTGCAGATATAACAAGCTATGTTTATTAGACTCAAGTGAGAGCTGTGTTGAAACCAGCAAGCCTTTTGCTGGTTTTTGTAGTTATAGTTTTGACTTTGTATTTTCAGACAAAGTCTCATTATGTAACTCTGCTGATTTTAAGCTTATGGCAATTGTTTTGCCTCTGCTGGTATTACAAGCACATGCAATTACACCCAGCTTAACACCAGTTAATTTATAGCTTAACTATCCAAACTTCTTGCTCTGCTCTCTTCCCACAGTGTCTTCTGTAGGTATTGTACGTGGTTTCAAGTATTCTAGAACCCCTTGATCAATATGGTTTTCATGGTCCTTTGAGGGGGGTTGTTTGTTTGGTTTCCGTTGTTTGTTTGTTTCAAGGCAGGGTTTCTCTGTGTATCCCTTGCTGTCCTGGACTCACTTTGTAGACCAGGCTGGCCTGGAACTCACAGAGATGGGTCTGCCTCTGCCTCTTGACTGCTGGCATTAAAAGTGAGTGCCCGGGGCTAGAGAGATGGCTCAGAGGTTAAGAACACTGGCTGTTCTTCCAAAGGTTCTGAGTTCAATTCCTAGCACACGACTGTCTATAGTGAGCTCTGGTACCCGCTTCTGGTATGCAGTCACACAATGGGCAGAACATTGTATAAATAATAAACAAATAAATAAATAAATTATTTTTTAAAAACTAATGAAAAAAAAAGTGAGTGTCACTACCACCTGGCCTTCCCCATGATCCTTTACCTGGTTTAGAGGACATTCTAGGACATGAAGCAGCAGCCTCCTCTTACATGTGTGTTGACACCTGTTTGAGAGTACAAATGGAGACCCTGTTTCAAAAGAAAGTGACAAAGACAAAACTGAGCACTAGCAAGACCTGCAAGTAGAAAATTTCACACAAGGCTTTATGTGATGTGTCTCCACCAAAACACGCAGGGTCGTTACAAGTTTTGTATAAAATTTCCCTCAGACTACATGTATAATAAAGTGTATATGAAATATGCAAATTTCACATTCAAGCTTGGGTGCCATCCTCAGGGTATCTTGTGCACAAATTTTAAAATGCTTCTTTCCAAGACTTTTGTATAATGGCTACTCAATTTGTATAATATTTTATATACTCTAGATAAAGTATTTGATTATTTTTAAATGAAAGACATACTTCACTATTAACCTCTAATGTAGTTGAATGTTTGATCTTGGGATTTCTTTCCACAGCTTTATGGGGAATTTGCAGACCCATTTAAACTCGCAGAGTGTAAACTCGCAATCATTCATTGCGCTGGTTACTCAGATCCCATATTGGTACATACACTTTGGCAAGATATTATAGAGAAAGGTAAGTGCTCGGTCATAGGTATGTTGCTATATATTTTTAGTGATTCAGTAGAAAGTAAACTTCTAGCAGTAGCTACTAAGTATATCTAGGGAAATAAGCTATATGAACCTACCAGAAAGGATGTGGATGACATGCTCAGATATGACCGTGGTGAATCTTTGGGCGCAGTGAAAGGGTAAAATGTTTATTTGCTATATACCACTTCACAATTATCTTCGCAGTCTTGTAACTGGTACTGTTGTGAGACATATATCAGACACTCACGGAAGCACAGAATCTGCTAGTTACAGTAATGCAAATGTTGGTAATTTGAATCTTGAAGCATTTAAGTAGCCAATATAAATAGTTCACATGAGAATAATTGTGGTTTCTATTGACATGTCTCTTCTAGAATTGAATGATAGTGTAACATTGAGTTCATCAGACCGAATGCATGCTCTTAGCCTCAAACTTGTCCTCCTTGGCAAAATCTATGCTGGCACACCTCGTTTCTTTCCTTTGGGTAAGCAATATCCTTGCTATCTTATTATCTGTTTCATGGTTTTTCTCCATTGGAAAACTTCATTGACCTATAAAGGTGTTTTGCTTTGTTTTCTGCTATTCATATATTTACTGTTTAGTTCAGCAGTTTTAATTCCGACTCTCCAGAAAGAATCCTTGAAGAATAACAGAATTTGTTAATGAACAGTTGACTGAATTTTTTTGAGCAGCTTTTCCAAGTTTCTCTATCATTTTTTGGAATTATGCTTCCTGGCTGACAGTATAGTTTAACTGATTATATTGCTGGAAAACCAATGCAAGTGTCAAATAAGAAATAAAAATGACTGATTGGTAATGTGAGAGTCACTTGATCTCTATTACTTTAAAGTAGTATGTGTGTGTATGTGTGTGAGTGAGAGAGAGAGAGAGCATTTTGCTCTGAAGCCCAGAATGATCTCAAACTCCCGGTATTCTTGCCCTAGCTTCCTGAATACTGGGTTACAGATGTTGTAAGTGTACACTATATCCAAATCTTTCTTCACCTCACACTCTTTCTCAGTCTGTTTTCCTCATTTCTTTCCTCTTTCCTTTTATTCTATATGTAGTTCTTAGATTTAAACTCATGTTCTTATATGTGGTGAGCAGGTTTTATGCCACTGAACTATTCTGGCTAGCACTTGGGTTTTTGAAATAGGTTCTATCTATATAGTCCAGGCTGGCTTTAAACATTGGATGCTTCTACCTCACCTTAGTTTCTGGGATCACGGGTGTATGTTAGTATGCCTGGCTTTTCTTTCTTTTTTTTTTTTTTTTTTTTTTTTTAGAACAAATCAACTAGATTTTTAATTTCCTGAACTTGATTCTTGACCAGATACGCTGAGTGTAATTGTTTTGAGCCAATTGCTAACTCACAGTTCTCTTTGTTATAAAAACAGAAGCACATTATCTCTGTGAAGATATTAAGTACTTACATTATTTTTAAAATATTTCATATCGTACACTCATTGCCTTGCTTGAGGTTTAGCCCAGGACCTTGTACATGTTAGAGACACTAAACTGCATACTATCCTTAAATCTCTTGCTCTTTTGAAATGAACTCTCAGACTTACCATCTCAAATGCTAAGATCTCTTTGTTGTTAGAGAGATGTAAAAACTACACTGTGTCCATGCCACTTTACTGATAGGAAAATGAGATAGCAGTGTAGGAGCGCTTGATCTTTCAGGGGACCAAAGCCCTCTTCTGGCCTCCATGGGCTCCCAAACATATGCACACATAAACATGCATAATATATGCAGATAAAATTAATTGGGTTTTTTGGTAAGTGTGTGAAAATAGTTAAAATTTGGGACCATTTAAGGGACTTTGGCTTTGATTTAGACATTTAATTTTTTTTTCAACTTCATGGAGTGTTGAGTAGCTCAGACTCAATGGTTTAACAAGCCCCATGAGACTTCAGACAGGTTTAAAGTTCAGTCCCAGCAATCAGGAGGTAGGGGTGTGTGTTTTCATTTTCCTTTTTAATGAAAATTCCAATCGTTCTGTTTTACCAATAAGACTCGGGTTCTCAGGTGAAAACCTGGTAGCTCAGAGAGACAGAGAACGCATCCAGCTGTCTCAGCTCACGTCCTGATGGGAAAAGCCCAAAAGGCTCACTAGCTCATCTGACAGCCCAGGAGGAAAAAGCTGAACAAACCCAAGGCCAAAGGCTTGCTAGCTCAAAGCCCAAAAAGCCAGGGAACTAAAGATTACTAAGTTAAAACCAAAGAGCTTTATGCACTCTGTCTTAAATACCCCTAAGCTCAAAGTCCCTCCTACTCCTTAATCCCTGTTGGCTGGTTTCTTGCTCCACCTCTTTATTAAATCCGGTGAACAAAAAGCTATGGGATTAAAGGTGTATGCTAGGACTGGCTGAACCACACCATAATCACCTGTTTAAAATAAACAGAAAGTTTTCAGATTAAAGGTGTATGTTAGAGCTCAACCAAACTAAACAAGAAACAAGGTTCAGAATCTCAGGGTTCACAATGGGATCAAATGTCCTGTCACAAAGGTGATCAGCATTCTGATAATTAAAGGCCAGGGTGGTCTACATAGCAAGTTTCAGTCCATCCAGGGTTATATAGGGAGACTCCCAACTTTCAAAGAAAAGAAATGTTAATATATGTCCTACATCTTTCAATTGTAAATTCCAGAACTCAGAAGGCAGGGGCAGACATACATATCTCTGTGAGTTCAAGGGCACCGTGGTCTTCATAGTTTCAGGACAGCTGTATAAAGATCCTGCCTCAAAAAAAAATTAAAAACAAAAACATACATACAGAGTGAGAAAGAGAGAGAAATTCCATGTCAAACATAGTTTCCTTTTTTTTTTCTTCAGTGATACCTCTTGCCCATGGACATTTACATTGGTTATTTTATGGTTTCAAGTATCAAAATTATAAATCTAGTTAAAGCTTGTTTATAAGACAATAATGGATATAAGGATGAGACTACAATTAGAGCTTTCGATATACTCATATGCCGGGTGTTTTGGCATTTGCCTGTAATCCCAGCACTCTGGAGGATGGGGCAGGAAGATCAAGCATTTAAGGTTGTCCTCAGCTATGTAGAGAGTTGAAGCCAACCTCTATGTGGCTGTTTGTGGACTAAGCCTCAAAACCATTAAGTAAGTACAAGAAGCATGCAGTATTAAAAATACATTTTAAACTAGTGGTTTTTTATGACAGGCTGTTGAGTATATAGATCAGTTATCATGTCCTCTCTAGTAGTGGAATTAAAGTGTACAGATTAATGGTTTTAGCATAGACATATGCGATCTAACTTTAAGAGATCGTCATCTATCCCAAAAGGGACCTGCACGCACTAGTTGTCACGTCGTAGCCTTTCCTCCCTTCCAGCTCGAGGCAACTACAGTTTGCTTTCTGTCTCCAAGTTGCAGGTTATATTTTACTTTTATTCAGTTTGTTTGAGTTTTTGTTTTTGGTCCTGAGGATTACATCCAAAGCCTTCTACAGACAAAGAACATGCCCCCAAAATGATATGTATGCATACATGTGTGCCTCTATGTATAGGTGCTCAGGCACATTCAGAAACGTGAGTATGAAGGTCAAGAGACTTCCCTAAATATTACTCAGCTTTTCTTTTCTTTTTTGATATAAGATAGCCTGAAGAGTCCTTGGTTCTTGGTTGGTGTGCAAGCCCCAGGAGCCCATCTGTCTCTCTCTCCCTAGGGCTGGAATTACAAGCTTGTACCTCTTATGTTTTGATTTTTAAAGGCAACCATTTTCCCAAATGACCTACCTCACTGGCCCTCAAATATGTTTGAAGTTCATTTTCAGATAGCCCCTAGAAACTATTTATCAGTAATTGTTTTCACACTTTGCTGCATTAAAAGCCAAAAATTCAAATTTCTGAGGCTTTATAGCTGGCTTAGCAATAAGAACACTTGTTGCTCTTGCAGAGGGCCTGAGTTCAGTCCCCACAGGGGCCTGTAACTGTCACAAACCTCTGTAACTGTAGTTCTAGGGGATGCGATGCCCCCACTGACACAGAACAAACACATGGTGTAAATACGTGCATGCAGGCCCAGCACTCACATACTTACTCAATGAAAATGAACCTTTTCATAATCCTTTTCTGACCTTTTCTCTTCAGATTTTATTGTACAGTTCCTGGAGCAGCAAGTTTGTACTTTGAACTGGGATGTGGGGTTTGTGATACAGACCATGAATGAAATCGGAGTGCCCTTACCGAGACTACTAGAAGTTTACGATCAGCTCTTCAAATCACGGGTAAGGAAAACAAAATGGTCTTCCCTATCTGATTTGTTCCAGGACACAGAGTGAGGCACGTTGATTGCACGTTTATATGTGTCTTATCATTTAGGCTAGATGTTCTCAGTAGAGATTGGCTTCAACCAAGTAAAATAAACTTGCACGTAAAATAAACTTGGACTCAGAACTGAGAGTTGCTTTGCTGTAGGTCATGACTAAAGAGAAATATTAATGTTTTTATATTGGTAAATATAATTATATGTATTTGCTCTTGTCTTCATAATAAACCAAAGCAGGGACTATTTCTGGGGATCAAATACCAAGGCCTTGCACATAATTGATAAGTGTTCTACCATTAGACTATAATTGTCCAATTCTCAGCTTGCTTTAAGCAAACAAAATAACAGCACACTTATTCTTATAACCTCATTTTAAAAATATTTTGTAGGGGATAGGGAGGTGTTCAGCCAGCTAAGAGCTTCCAGCCAAGTTTGATCCCCAGAACTAAGTGCAACAGTGTGTGTTTGTAACCCGATACTAGAGAGGCAGCAACAGGTGCATCCTGGGTCCTTTTAGCTGAGCATTCAGTGACACACCCTGTCTCAACTAAGAACAAAGATTTCGATGGACACATCCTTGGATGCCCTTTTTCTGATCTCCAAGTGTTTCCTCAGGCCCTCTGTGGCCCTCTATATATTATGTTGTTATACAGTGTGAGAGGGCTGTGTCATCTATCAGTGCTTTTTAAGTTTTTGTTTTGTTTTTTGGTGTTGGTGATGGTTTGGTTTGGTTTTGATTTTCTGAAACAGGGTCTTGCCATATATAGTCCAGGCTGGCCTTGAACTTGGGATTCTCCTACCTTAGCTTCCTAAGTAGGAAGCATAATGTGACATCACACCTGCCTGGTAATAGTGTTCAAGGCATCTTCTGCCTTGTTCAGTAATGACTCAACTGAGCCTCATAATTAGGCCATAATGAAAATAGTGTCTTCATCTTACCTTACTAAAAGATGAGGTTAGAGATATTAAGCAGCTGTTCTAGTTATGTGGGTAATAACAGATTAAGGTTCTGTAACTGCTGGTTTCTTTTATTCTAGGTTCAGACTGCATTCATTCAAAGGAAAATAGGTCACAGCCCATAGAAATACCAGTTTTTCTTTATTTTCACATTATATGGTCTAATGATGAATCAATTATTGTTTGTAAAAAGTATCATAATATGGTCTTTTAATTTTTTTGTTTGTTTTTGTTTTCTTGAGATAGGCCCTGGCTATCCTAGAACTCACTATATAGACCAGGCTAGCCTGAACTCACAGAGATCTGAGTGCTGGGATTAAAGGTGTGCACTGCCCACCTTCACAAATATGGTTTTTATTTCAAATACTAATTTAGCCTAGTATATAATTTAGTAACTACATATATTTGGCATTTTTGGAGGGTTTGTTTGTTTTTCTTTTTGTTTTTTGGTGGTTTTGTTTTTTGTTTTGTTTTGTTTTGTTTTTTTAATGCAGGCTCTCACTGTGTAACTTTGGCTGGTCTAGAACTTTAAATGTAGACAAGACTGGCCTACAACTCACTGTCTGCCTCCAGTTCCGTTTCTAATGCTTTTTAGTAGAAATTTTCTTGGTCTCCAAAGACTTCTTTAACCAACATAAACAATTAGGAAAAATACACACACATTTGGTGAGTAATTAGGCAAACTGTGACTGTACATTCATACACTTTTTTCTCTTCCTAGGATCCATTCTGGAACAGAGTGAAAAGGCCACTGCACCTTTTGGATTGTATCCATGTATTGTTGACAAGATACGTTGAGAATCCTAGCCAAGTTTTAAATTGTGATAGGTAACTATTGTAGGAACGTTCTAAGTATTTCTAGTAGGTACCTGGGTAACAAGTTGGGAATGATGTGGAATGCTCTAGAGATTACAAAGAAGCAATTAGGGGATTTCTTATGTTCATTAGCAGTAACTATTGAGTGATCACCTAACCATTAGCATACATGAAAGATCAGAAAATTTTCAACTATGGTCCTAAATTTTCTAAAATGAAAATAATTTATGAACTACTGTATGTTCCTTCACTTGTGGATTTGTGACCTAGGACCAAGACATTTCAGTTACCTCTTTGTGGTGTGATTTAAGGAAATGTCTTTTTAAAAAGCTGAACGAATATAAATTATGTTAACAGGAATCATCCTTTAGTGCCCCTCAGCCAACAGTCTTCAAATTGAGAATGGTGATTATGAGGTAGCTGGCCTCGCTAAGTTCCCTTTCCGTTTTCAGGAACTTAGCATTTACTCAATTGTCTACTCCTTGCTTTTCAAAGCAAGGACTGGAAGAAAGTTCATCAAAACGCGGTCTGAAACAGCCCTTTGAAGGAAATGAGTTTAAGTATAGCTGGTTGAAGTCTGAAACAGGCAGTGGCTCAGTGATTAAGAGCACTTTCTGCTTTTGCAGAGGTCCTGAGTTCACTTCCCTGCAACTGCTTAGCCGTTCACAACTATTCATAACAACAGTTGCAGGGTATCTGATGCCCGCTCTAGCCCAGAGGGTACTGGACATATGCCTGCTGCACATACAAGTGCCGGCAAAGCACTCATACACATAAAAGTAAACTGTATTAAACCTACAGAGAAAAGAAAGTGCGCGACCTGCTGTCTTTTCTGTTACAGGAGAAGATTTACGAACCTCTGCCTGGATGCTGTTTGTGGTTATCTGGTGGAGCTCCAGTCAATGAGCTCCTCAGTAGCGGTACAAACCATCACTGGGAACTTTAAATCTCTCCAAGCAAAGTTGGAACGCCTCCATTAATTATTGTAGTATATATTCTTGCTTGCATTTTTGTCTGTAAAATAAAAGTTCAGCTGGGTCCAGAAATCAGGTGTTGTATACCTAAGAATTTTGGTAAAATTTGTTTTTAATGAGTGATAGTTATCTACAAGTAGTACATTGCCAAATGAATTCGTTTTTATAACTAGTATTTTTTTTAATTGATTAGGTGGGCCCAAATATGTAGCTTAATAGTAGAACATTTGTGTAGTATGTAAAATGCCCTGGATTCACTGCCTAACACCACATACAACCCAACAATTTGCAAAAAACTGCAATAAGATTATATGTGATTCTGACACAGAGATAATGTTATTTTAAATTTTTTTTTCTGGTAACAATTTTGAATTTGTATTATTTATTTCCAGGGTTATCTAGAATGTTGGTATCAAAACTTTTAAGCTAAGCCAGGTGTGGTGGCACATGCCTTTAAATATAGCACTTGGGGAGGCAATGGCAGGCAGATCTCTAGAACTCATGGAACGGAGAATTCCAGGCCAAGGGCTACATAGTAAGACCTTGTCTCACGGGAAAAAAAAACAACCTTATAGGTTGTGTCTTTCTCATAGTGTTAGATTCTGTAATAGTCCTAAATGTACATTTTAAATTAGTTTTTAGGCATTTCATGAATCACTAATTTTACCCGTTACAGCCCCTTAGCTTTTCTTTCCCTCTTTCTCTCTTTCTCTCTCTCACCATAAATATGTAAATTAGATTTTACATAGACATTTATTTGTGTGAGGGGTATTATATATGTTGTATATACATACAACAGGATTCAGGACTGTTTGAGCATGTGATAAACTTATAACACTGTTGTTTGTACTTCAAACCTACATGATTAGCCAGCTGTGGTGGTGCTGGCCTTTAACTGTAGCACTTGGGAGAAGAGAAGGGGAACTCTGAGTTCAAGGCCATCCTGGTCTACATAGTGAGCTATAATTCAACCACAACTATACAGTAACTACTGTTTCCTTAGGATCCTCACTCAGAGTATGTATGCTTCAAGCTAGCAACATCAGAGAAGTTAAATTCCTGGGTCCCCTATCAGATCTACCAAATAAAAATCCTTAACATAAGTGCCTATTTTTGTGTTTTAACAACCTTTCCAGATTCATGTCACATCAAAAACAACCACTTGTAAATCCTTTGTTTTCTATAGTTTCTGGGCTGAGTTCCCTCTCTGATTTGATTTCTCCAGCCCTCTTTCTTACCAGTGACCACAACACAAGTTTTATCCAAGTCATAGTGGATAAAGCAGAGTTTTTAGTAATCTAGGTTTTGGTTTTTTGTTTTGTTTTGTTTTGTTTTGTTTTTAGTGGTGGGTTGAATCCAGGGTCTTGTTGCTAAACAAGTAGGTATTCTGCCACTGGAGCTCTACCCTAACCCTGAGCTATCTTTAATGTGTTAGAATAGCGCACTAAAAACACGCGTACACAGCACTATCAATGACAAAAGGGAAGAATGAGAATGACTAAGGCTGGAAGGAGAACCAGAACTGCTTCCCATTCTCCGTAGTTTTTTGTTGTTGTTAATAATTATTGTGGGTTTTTTATTTTATCTTATTTTTGCAACTGAGTCTCTCAGAGGCCAGACTGGTGTTTAACTCTAGCTCTCTAGAGTGATCTTGAGTTTCTGATCTGGCCCTCACCACCTGAGTGCTAAGAATATAGGCATGCTTCCCACGCCCACTGTTCGTGGTGCAGGGCCTTAAACCCAGGGTTTCATACATCTGGGTTAGCACCTTATCAGCTGATTATGGTCCTAGTCCTCAACCTCATCCTCCCACACACACCCCTTTTTTTTTTGGCAAGGTCTCAGTATGTAGCCCAGGCAGACTACAAACATACGCTGATCCTCCTGTTTCAGTCTTCCAGGTACTAGAAATCCAAGCATGTGCCACCGTGATTCCACTCTTATTTGTGCTACTGGTAGGAGTGTTCTCTTCTGCTTGTTATCACTGATGCAAGTCGGGCAGTTTTGTAAATACATCATGAATATATTTCTACTTTTATCTTTTACTAAGATTCCAAAGGTCAAAGCACCACTAATTAGGTATTACTACCTCACTTTTTAGCTTTTCGTTTTCTTAAGTAACTCTTCTAGTCTGTAAAATGAATGCATTTGATGTATTAATGGTTTTATGCATTTAAAATTCTGTCCTTATTTTAAATGAACGTATTGTTTAAATGCTTTCATTTAGTTGTGGATCTGTTTCTGCTGGATGTACATGGCACTATCTCCATTTATGTTGTAAGCATATTTACACATTATTATACATGTTACATATACTCAGTTATCTAGGGACAGTAGCTCTTGCATCTAATCACCAAACTCAGGATGTTGAGGTCGGAGGATTGAAGGCTCACACCCTGCTTGGCTTAAAGGTGAAACTCTGTCTCCAAAAATACAGAGATATGGCTATACACATATATGCACAGTATCTTTTAATAAACCTGCAGGATACTGTGTCACAAAGGATGTAGTTGACAGATACCTGAATGCTGTTCTCTTTGTTCTTATAGCACACTTTGAGAGAGCTTAAGAATTTTAGCCCCACAGCAAATGTTTGCAATGGCCTTCCAAAGAGAAAAGACACTGCTAGTCCATTGTTGCTGAAACTTGAACATTCACCAAAGAAAATCATCTGGATGGCCTGTGTACTCGGACTCTGAACTTGCACCTCCAAAGGGATGCTGATCCTGGAAGTTAGTGATCAGGTGTAGCAGTGGCAATGTTCTAGCACAGTATCCACTGTGTGAGTATACTTTGCTCCCAGACTTTGTTCAGTGCATTGTCTTTATGTTGCAACTATTCCATTTGTATAGGCAGTGATTTGAGTCATTGGTAGAACATCTTAGGAAAGTACATTCATTGTGGACAGTTGAGTCGCCGAAAGTCTCGATTATGATGTACTTGTAATTTTAGATGGTTTCAGTGTGGCAGGGTGACTAAGGAAGAGACACACTGGGTTTATGTAAGATACACGATATTGACCTGATTTGTGTGTAATATTTGTTTGACAGGGTTTTAATTATTTATTAACTAGTAACTTCTTCATTGTACATTGGGATGACGTCAGCTTCTCTTTATGTTTTACACTTAGCTTAATTTCAGAAACCTTTCACAGATTATTTTCTTCTTTAGGATACTTTGTATATTCATGTTTCCTCTCCCCTTCACTAGAGGAAAAATAGCAGTGATATAGTCATAGCAAATAAATTAACTAAAACCCCAAATCTGAGGTTTTAAAAGAGATTAATGTTTTCTTTAATATTTTCTATGAATATCCTTACTTAAATTATAATAATAATAAAAAGCTTAATAATAAAGCTTTTCACACTTTTGAGTTCTCTACAAAAACTTTTAAATGCTTCAGTTTTCCTATGTATAACTGAAGAGGTTGAGGCTAAATGGTAAGAGTCTTGAAACTAAAATTTTGCAAGAACTAACGCTATTTTTTTATTGAATGGTTGTTTTCCTTCACATATTAGACATTAACTGCCATCGGTTTTACTTTTTCATTTTATTTTCTATAGCACTATACAGCATATTTGAAATTTAAGTATTTCTCTTTGTTTGCCATGAGTTTTGCATTTTAAATTAATTTACTATGTCAGATCCAGGATCCTGATAGCATGTCTAAGTAAGTTTTAATATCTATCCCTCGTATCTATCCACTTATCTCACTGGTTCAAAATTTTCATGTTTATTCAGGTGTCATTTTGAAGCCTGCAGTCTAATGATGTTTATCATTAGAAGAAATGATAAAGTGACATCTGAGGACTAGATGATTAACAATAAAGTTAACAAAATCTGGAGCTAGTTTTAGTGCAACAACGAATGGACCCTCAAAACTAAAAAGCTGTCCTGACGGTGGTACCACTTGTCTTTAATCCCAGCACTCAGAGTCAGGCAGAGCTCTGAATTTGAGGCCAGCCTGGTCTACAGAGTAAGTTCCAGGACAGCCAGGGCTACATAGAGAAACCCTGTCTCAAACAAAAAAACAAAACAAAATCTGAAAGGTTGAAGTCTGGCCTTCCTTGTGATTAGACCTCATTAAGGTTTCTTCACTCAAAAGCTTGCTTACTTTTCCACATGCTAGGATTACTGGCATAAACCACTATATTTACTCTGTCTCTTCGCAGTCCGTTTGTCCTGTAACTCCTGGGAGAGTATGGGAAGTGTGTGTTGGCTCTTCCCTAGAAGTAATGAACAGAAGAGGCCCACAAAGGGCTCAGGCTTGCTTGCCTCTAGTCATGGACTCAGTCTTGGGGTTAGGATTCTTACCTAACCCATGTGGAACCAGAAAACAGGTACTTTCCCAGGCACCTGCAGCACCACTGACTGTTGTGATGAAAACTGCAAGCCTACAGATCCAACAGTTCTAAACCAGAGTGGAATGTACAAGACCAATCCAGGAAGCACAATGTACAAAAGAAACAAATAACCACAACTACTAGAATTAAGTTGAGCAAAGTCCCCAAGTCAGTGTGCAAAAACTATTTGTACTCCTCTATATTAGTATCAAGTAATCAAAAGCTTTTAATCAGTAGAATATACCTGTAGCCAAGGCAATTAGGAAAAAAAGTTGCTTTAGCCCAGAAGTTTGATGCCACCATGAGCAATGTAGCAATACCCTGTCTTCAAATAAGTGAATGAACAAATACTAAAAATACCATAAAAACTTGTTTTGTTTTCTAGACAGGATTTCCCAGTGTAGCCTTGGCTGTCCTGAACTTGTTTGTAGACTAGGTTGGCCTCGAACTCAGATCTGCCTGCCCCTGCTCTCCTGAGTGCTGTGATTACAGGTATGCACCACTGCCCCCAATTCAGAAAACATTTTTGTTCTTCTCAATTTATTCATTATATATCCTGATTGAAGCCCCCTCCCTCAACACCCCCAGTTCCACCCTCCCTCCCTCTTCCATCCCTTTCCCCTAGTCCTCTGAAAGGAAGAGTTCTCCACTATTGCCATCTGCCCATAACTGCCAACTGCCCATCAGGACTATGTGGATCCTCTTCCTCTGTGGCCTGGCAAGGCTGCATCATCAGGGGTGAGTGATCAGAGAGCAGGCAACTGAGTTCATGATAGAGGCAGCCCCTGCTCCTCTCACTCAGAGATCCTCATGGAGACTCTGAGCTGCCAGTCGGCCACATGTGAGCAGAGGTCTAGGTCCTCTCCATGCATCAGTCTCTGCAGGAACCTCTGGGCTCAGGTCTTTTAGTTTTGTAGGTCTCCAAAGTTTTTAAGACTCCCTACACTCTGCTCAAAGTTTGGCCCCAAGTCTCAGCATCTGCTTTAATTCCCCTGTTGGGTGAATCCTTTCAAAAGACCCTCTAAACTAGACTCCCATCCTCTTTCCTCTTCCAGTGCTTCTGGTATCCTGTTTGACATTCTGAATGAGATTTAAGCATCCTCCCTAGAGTCCTCCTTAATTTTTAGCTTCTTTAGGTCTATAGATGGCTGTCCTATATTAATATGGCTAATATATGCTATTAGTCCATGCTGGAGAGGATGTGGGGAAAGGGGACCCTCCTCTATTGCTGGTGGGAGTACACCCTTGTACAACCACTTTGGAAATAAGTCTGGTGCTTTCTTAGACAATTAGGAATAGCACTACCTCAAGATGCAGCTATACCACTCAGCATATACCCAAAAGATGCCCCACCATTCAGTAAGGACATTTGCTCAACTACATTCATAGAAGCTTTATCTGTAATAGCCAGAATGTGGAAACAACCTAGATGTCCCTCAAGGGAGGAATGGATACAGAAATTTAGTACATCTATACAATGTAATACTCAGCTTAACAAGGAAATCATGAAATTTGCAGACATGATAAGATCATCCTGATGACATAATCCAGAAATTGAAACATCATTTTTAACAGAAATTTAATGTGTGAGATCTGAAAACTTTTAAATTTATTTATTGATTGTTTATACAGTATTCTGCCTGCATGTACACCTGCATGCCAGAAAAAGGCACCAGATCTTATAATAGATGGTTGTGAGCCACCATGTGGTTGCTGGGAATTAAACACAGGACCTCTGGAAGAACAGACAGTGCTCTTAACCACTGAGCCATCTCTCCAGCCCCCTTGAATGTATTTCTAATTAAATTCCTAGCTGACTTTTTGAAATTGAAAATTGACAGATTCTAAAAGTGGAAATGGAGGGCCAAAGAGGTGGTCCAGCTGTTGCAGATGTCTCCCATCAAGCCTGATGAGTTTATTTGAGTGCCAGGACCATTTGGTAGAAAGGGAAGGTTTGATTCCTATATGTTGTCCTCTGACCTCCACGTGTGTTCAAACATGAACACAAAATATAAGAGATTTGTCCTATTGAGTTATTGGTCTGGGTAACCCAAGAGATTCCCTCAATATAAGCTATTGCTATTGCTGATAAAAACGATTGTTATTGTATTGGTTGTCTTCCGGAAATTGAAGGTAAGTCCCTACTGCTAAAGACAACAGCTATTTCACACAGGCCTTGGAAGGCCTGAGCTGAATCTGACCTGAAACCCTCCTCCATGAAGTCTAACTTTCATAGTACTAGAAGATGGAGTGCAAGGTACCAAAGAAGGAGAGCAATTAATGGCCTTCCTAGTTGTGATGCCTATGAACCACAGCAGTGCACAGCATGGCAAGTTATCCCTAAAGGTCCCATAGTGGAAGTCGTATCTTGGCTGTTGCCAACAGCTAACAAGAAGAAAACCATACCTGGAACTTGAAATCTAGCCTTGGACTACTGAGGTCTTGAATCTTAGAGGAGAACTTACTACTTCCATTTTGTTGGACCAGCATAATTCCTAACTGCATTTTAGAAAGCATCCCTATAGCCATAGATAAGTGTAGCTTTTGCCCATCATCAAAGAAGTGTCTCTTCAGCATAAAACTACTGAAAATGGCAGCTAGTCAAAAAGTGGAGATCCAGCTAATCATGAAGTACCAATGAACACATCTACAACATAATTCCTGCACCCAAGGCTCAGAGAACATCACAGAAGAGGGAGCAGAAAGATATGCCAAGGACCAGAGGACCAGGAAGTGTGCTGTGAGTGTCTTCTATGGATGACAGGGAAGCTATACCCATGATGTCTCCACAGTATGGCTGCCTAAACAAGACTGAACAAGGATAGCACCCAATAGACATGCCAACATGGAAGGGAAAATCACATAGGGTCCTACCCCTAGACAACCATAGGCCACTAAGGGATGCTGACAGTGGAAGAATTTATCTTTCCCGGGCATGGACTCCGTAATTGGTTATGAAATACCAAGTGGTCAGCCCTGAAATCAAACATACAAGAACACTAAATAAACAGGTTTTATTTATGCATATATGTAACAAAAAAAGGGCTATGAGTGGGAGAAGTTGAGGAGGGCTTGGAGGGAAAAGGCGGAGGGGAGAAAATGGTGTAATTCTCTTTAATTAAAATGTAAATGAACATATAGAAATAACAGAATGGCCAACATGGTTTTCAAAAGTAACAGTAAACGTGAGGGCGGAGAGATTGCTCAGTAATTCAGACTGCACACTGCTCTTGCCAGGGACCTGGGTTCAGTTCCCAGAACCCACATTTCATTGCTCACAGCTGCCTTGTTACCCCAGGTTCAAAGCATCCAGCACCCTCTTCTGACCTCTATAGATACCTGCACATACATGGCATACAAACACTAGTGCATGAACAAAAGAAATAAACTTGAACATACACTAATTTCAATATTGTCTTGTGAAGTGATTGTAATCATATTAAGGTATTGTTGTAAAACAGATTAATGGAGCAAAGTAAATACATATGCAAACAGTTGATTTTCAGAAAAGACCAAAGTTTAGTGGGAGAAGAAAAGTCAACAAATAGTACTAGGATAATTGAATATGTGCATGAAAAACATTAGCTTTGGAGGTAGGCTATCGCTCAGTGATAGCATACTTAGTGTACATGATCATGCCCTGAGTTCAGTCCCCAACACAGCCATGTAAGCTAGTGTGCCATATGTAAAGGGGAACATGATCTGCATCATAGAAGTGAGAAAAAAATCTAATGGTCAGTAAAGCATATTTCTTACAACCCAAATAAAAAAATAAGATGGGTCTCATTGAAATTAATAACATCTTTAAAAGACATTAAGAAACTACAAATGCAAATAAAAGATCGATAAATCGTTACCAATTATAGAACAGGTGTGATTGAGGCCCTGAGTTAGTGATACTCAGCACACCATTTAATTCATTAATTTGAACCTAAATACTCACAAGTGAATATGGACTAAGGAGCGTGAAAAA